GAAATGCCATACATTCTCTGATAGAAAGCCACAACATGAGTTTTTGCTGGCTGCAACAAAACATACGAGATGGCAATATTATGTGTGTATTTTGTACTAAGTGAGTATGATTGGTACTTCAAAATGCTTGTAATTTCAACTTAAAAAAGGAGACCTGATAGGAGTTGAAGGACAAGAAAGAGAAGTTTAAATCCAGAAAAAATATCTTTCCTCTGGCCTCCTGTTTAGTTTGAAGCAAACGGACTCCCTCAGGCCGGCAGAGGGCTGTGCAGACCTAAAGGGAAGAATTGAAAAATAAACGATATACTAGATCCCGAGAAAGTTATATGGGCTTGGACATGGGTAAACAACTAGATTATAAATGATTAAATGGAATTATATATATCACAACGGTAACTCAGATAGGACCCAACGATAACACTTGCAGAATTGCTCATCTAACTAGGTAATGAGTTTAAAAACCACAAGCCAAACAGAACAGGTAGAAAAGAAAATTAGCCAAGTATCTGAAGCACCTGCTGTAACGGCACTCCCACACACCCTCCACCAATTTCCTCAGGAAAAGACAGCATAGAAGAAGAAAAATCTCTACAGACAGAAATTGAATTCTGTTCTGCAATCTAGGCGGGGTGTTAGGAAGACTTATGAAAAGAGTGAGAGACACAGAAGTAGCAAAGACACAGAGAAGTGAAAGAGGGAGACATTTAAATCTCTCTGATAAAGGAGGTTTGAACCTCATTGAGAGTCAATGTGCAGCCCCACTGAGTGACTCAGGGTGTGACTCATCGCAGCTGGCATCGACTCTACCTTACACACACACAACCTCACACTTTTTCATAAACCCTCAGGCCTTGTGTATGCTATGTGTCCCCCATGCTTAGCGTTCTGTTGGATTCCACCTGTTAACAGCCAATGCATAAGCTCTGCTCCATGCTGCTTATGAATCAGCTTATGACAAGATATGAATGCAGTCTGAGCCGCGGAGCCTTCCCACAATCGGCTTGGAAGACAGATGCTGTCAAACTTGGCTATGTCCGTCGATGGGATCCTTCTTACCACCCACTAAATGAATAAGTATAAGGGTAGTTGGATGACTCACCGGTCAATTACTTAAGAGGAGAGGGAGAAATAACTTGGAGAAGGAACCACATGGTGTGTCGCTCACTGTGGCTCATTCTCAGATCTTCAAATGTCTCAAAAACTTGCTACATTTTGCTCATTTTAAGTAAAAATGTTCTCAAGATTGCATGTATGTGTTTTGGGGGGGTTACTGGTTGGCTGTGTATCGACTGCAATGGCAGACGGCTGATCTTGGAACACGGCCCCAGCACAGCATAGAGCTGTTAGGCCATCCGTACGTTGCTTAACGAGCCATGAGCGATCGCTATGATCTTGCCACAAATAATTCATGAGGAGCTCTGTAGTGGAGCTATGGAGCTAAAAGGGAAAGGGGGGGTGAAAGCATCTAGGAGTGGACCACAGCCTAAGTGGTGCATGGCCGAGAGATGAAGGGAGGAAGACATAAAAAGATCCATCTGACAAATGTGTCTGGAATAGAAAGGAAATCCCCCATTACCTACAGTTCTGACAAGACTGCGTGTGAACGCACGCATTTGTGTGTGCTTATTTTTAGACAGCCATTTGTGTTACTACATCTGAAAAAGGCACAGTGGGAGTGTTAGAAGTGTGTATCACAATCACAGGATGTGTGTAAGATTATTGCTAAGGCATGCGCTATGTGTGTGTTGGAATGTGACGGAGTGAGTTCAGATTGTTATGACAGCTGTGAAACCCAAAGTGTTCGACTGCACAAGTTTTTCTGCTGAAACCATGGGAATATGAGCTAATAAAGTGTGGCCTGGTATCAAATGAAAGGGCCGCTTGTAATGTGTAATGGAAACCATCATTTCTAGTTTTTTGTGCTTGAATATCAGAGCTGAAGTTTAGATGATTGTACCAACGGTAGGTACGGTAAGCTACTGTTGGTTTGTTTAAAATAGATTATAGGTGATAACAGAATTCAAATTAAATGCCTTTTGGATGGATTTCAATGCAATTTGGAACAAACACCTATGTTGCCCAGACAACAGATTTTGGTGACTCCCTGATTTTGAATATAGTGCCACCGGCAGGCTTAAAGTTTTCACTTATTCTCTCAACATTTACTTCTCTTAATGACTTTAGTAATTATATGACTTTTGCTCTAGTGTCACCATGACGTTTAATATCTAAACAACAGTTAAACATTAATTGGCTACTGGTTGAATTTTAACAACTTCTCATCTAGTGCTTTTTCTGTTTGTCTAATACTATTGATATAGCTGCAAAACTAATGACACCCATCAGTTGCAGTTGAGAGCAGTGAAGCATGCTGCCATTAGCATTTAGCTTATAGCACAGCTGTTCCTGGGTGCAGCCTCACAGAGCAGCTCACGTCTGTAAGGTTGTTTTTTCAAAGTGAGACATCTATGGAGACAATGAAAATTACTTTTTTTGACGGAGGCACTACAGACCAGCGAGACGCATCACTGGAACACAGACTAATGGAAAAAGGGGGGATGGAGACAAAGAGTCGGTGTAGGTCTCTGTGGCATGTCATTAGTGAGAAAGAGGGGTTGACTTGCTTCATCTGACATTTACCAGTCCGACTGAAAATGTCACGGAATGCCAGCCTTTACCTCTGGATATAATGGTGCCTCTTACAGCCTAGAGCTATTGATCCCCAAAAACTTGTGTCCATTTTGCCTCCTCTCTTGTTCCTTCTGTCCACTGTCCCGAGGAAGACCACCGTTCCTGCTCCCAGCCAGAGCTTTCATCGTTTTCGTTTACTGCGTGCATTAGCAGATTTGGCTCAGCGAGTAAATGATGCCAGTGCAGTGCGGGGGACAGAGTAGATCCTCCTCGGGGGATATTTTAAGTTTGTTTTGACGCACTAGTGTGGATAATAACATGACAAAACATGTGAATGGTTGTTATTCACTGTCTATTTGACAGGAAGATCTTTGAGTCATCAAGTTTCCACACTAATATTGGGTGCATGTGGGAGTTTTTCCTCCATTGATTCCTTTCTTCAGTTGCTTTCACACATTGAGGGACACTGGCTGTCTTTTAGGTTAGCTAACTGACTATGTAGAGGTTTGCCAACAATGCCAGAAAATGAAAATGAAAGCAGAGGGAAAATTCAATTTAGTATCCTTCTCTATGTCTTTTTGGAATATCTCACCAAAGCATGCTGATATTCTTAGGCATGAAATAAGTATTAAGGATCACATACAAATAACTTTGCACAATTCGACAGAAATAATAATGTCAAATCTATAGGTCAAGTGATTACAATAGTGAAAGTTATCCTATCAAAGCCCCCATAAACCTCTATATATAGTTTAAATTATTTTTGTGAGATCAAGTAAACAATGGGAGAGGAGCCATTTGTACCAGATGTATTTCACACTCCCATTGTCACATTTAGCTGAAGGTCTACTGAGTTGTATTGTATGTACTGTGAATAGGAAGTGGTTGAATCAAAGCAATAACAAAAAGCAATCAGAGCCGACCAGATGATGCATTCTTTACAGTGCACTGATCTCAACCTCATTTGAAATTAAGCAGTAATCTCTTTCCCAATAGCTAATGCAGAAGCTAATCATAAGCATAAGCATTTTCTGTCTTTGTTTGCTATGCTGCAGTGGATTTCTGTCTCTTAGGAACTGATTGTAGATCCATGGCCTCTCAATTGGTTTTGGGGAGTGCTACTGTCTAGTCTATTTCTGTCCTTGCTGTCCTCGGTTGACTGCCTTCACATCAAGTGAAGGATTTATTTGGCTACTCTGCCAGCTCAGGCAGATAGGCCCTGCGGTTACGACACAATATGAAATGTCTGAATCCACTCTTAAGATAACTCTAACTGTCGTAATGGTTTCAGTGATTGTTTTCTCTCTGAGTTAACATGTTTGAAGAGCTGAAGTTGTTTACAGATTAGAGAGGGTAAAAACCCGCCAGGCTGCAGTTTTACGTCTTTTTGTTGCCTTCTTTGGAGTTGAAAGGATTGATGTTTTTACCAAGGATTTGGGGATGTTTCCTTCCAAGGCTTAGATTCTGCACAAATGTTTTCCTCTTAATCACTTGTGGTCTTCTTCCATGCATGTTAATTGGCGGCTTTGACTGCAGCGTTACGTTTCAAAATCCATACCCACAGAAGATTATGATCTTAATGAGCTAGATCACAGCCCTGGGCCCATTACATGTTTGCCCAGCATTACACAATGCCATCGAAGCAGTGGTACAGCTTGGATGGCAACAGGAGCTTGATTCAATTAGCCGGCCCTTCTCAGCTGCATTACCCACCACTCCCATGGCTTCACCAGAATCACTTCACCGTTATGAAACTACACAAATCATGAAAATAGCCCATACAGCTGACAATAAGGGTCATGTGGTGACAATGATCATTGCCATGCTTACTGCGGGCCAAAAATATGTTTTTAACTGTTGTTGTAGCTGTGTTACACAAGGCAGTGATACTGTGGAATAAAGCTGCTATGCAAGTAGTTACTTGGTTTGACAGGAATATATTTTTAGTATATGTAGAATAGTAAATGACAGTTCATGACTATGTTTTATTTGTACCTTTTTAAATTGTACTATATTGGTTTTCTTGTCTTTATTCTTTTCAGTTTTATCACTACAGCTTCCCGCAATATGTTTTTGTTTAACAACGATGATGTTGTAATCAAAGTCCACACATTTTCTGTAATCAAATGTTTATGTAATTGGTAAAGATATGAACATCTTTATCCCTTATGAATTCAAATTACAATATTTGAATTGTGCTATTAAAAGTGATAGCTACTAAGTGTGCTAAGGATGTCAAAACTCAACCAAACTCAAGCATGTGATGCAACAGTTTAAAATATTAAAATGTGTTATTGTGCCATTTGTTTCCATAAGATAAAGAAGTTATTATTAGATTGTCTAACTGTCCGCCCTTCCTTTCTCTGCAGGTACATCCGCACCATGTACCTCGGTATACAGAGTCACCGGCAGAAGGAGAACCAGCGGCGTTTTTACTGGGCTATGATGTACGAGTATGCCGATGTCAACATGCTGCGACTGCTGGAGACCTTCTTAGAAAGCGCCCCTCAGATGGTGCTGCAGCTCTGCATTATGATCCAGAGCAACAATGCTGAGTGGCTGCAGTGTAAGGACTTCCATATGGCACTATACAGGCAACACACAACTTTCATTATGTTTGTGTCTAATTCCAGACATCTTTCATATCCTTCGTTTGTGCATTACGTCATACTGTTGTCCCATAATGCTGAGATGGTTTCGTATTTTAAACCTGACAGTTCATTTTCTGTGAAGTTCACATATCGCTTTATTTACAGTGTGCACTATTCTCCACCATTGTATTCAATTTCAAACATTCATCATTTTTGAAAGCTCTTTTACAATTCCAGTTTCCACGTGCAAAACAGCTCCCCAAGGAAGGCAATTCAATCATAACAAGATACCCTCCCTGTCTGGGTGTCTATAGAAATGCCATCAATACATTTGCTGAGAGGCACCATGCTGCTGCTCTGCAGATAATCCTCTATCATTTTTCATGTAGCAGGTTACTGCTCTGACATAATGCTGTCTCTACTGTTATACAAGTCCAAAGGAAACTGAATTGTTGTTGACTGAATGACCTATGATGATCTTGGTAATAATATGGCTTTCTAGAATGTGATAGATTGCTTTGGCTGAAATGAAATGTACTGTAAGTGGAACGCCAGCCAAGTCAAGATAAAGTATTTTTCTTTGGATTATGCTTTAGACTAGAAATAAAAACTGGATTTTTCTTTACATTTCTGGTGCTTTGAAAACCATCTCATGGCATGTCAGTGTATCTCATTCTTAGTCTTTCTCTTCTTTCACACTCTTTCTCCGTCTATATTCACAGGTCTTTCAACCATGTCCTCCCTCCTGTCCCTGGCCTGGGTGCTAGCTTCTTACCACAAACTCCTGCGTGATTCACGTGACGACCAGAAGAGCATGAGTTACCGAGGTGCCCTGGTGCATCTGTTCTGGCGCCTTTTTACCATCTCCTCACGGGTGATCTCCCTTGCCCTATTTGCCTCGGTTTTCCACATATACTTTGGCATTTTTGTGGTGCTCCATTGGTGTGCCATGGCTTTCTGGGTCATCCATGGCGGCACCGACTTCTGCATGTCCAAGTGGGAGGAAGTACTGTTCAACATGGTGGTGGGGGTGGTCTATGTCTTCTGTTGGTTCAATGTACGCGAGGGCCGGACGCGGTACAGAATGGTGACCTATTATACAGTAGTGCTGTTAGAGAACGCCATCCTAAGCCTCCTTTGGTATGCGTATCGTGACCCAGTCACCACTGACGCCTATGCCGCTTTTGCCCTCTGTGGTGTCTTCCTGTGCTTTGCCTCAGGTGTGGCCTGTATGGTTCTCTATTACGGGGTCCTACACCCCATGGGCCCCCGGCTGAGGGTGCTGGCCAGCTCATGCTGCGCTGAGCTTCTTTGGGGCCTTCCATTACCCCCCGAGGCCGAGCCCATGGCTCCCACACCTGGACCGCGTGGTTCTCAGGCCACCCCCACACGGGGTCTGGCAGGGGAATATGAGGAGTCAGATGAAACACCCACGGACACCTGCCTACCGGTTTTCCAGGTGAGGTCCACAGAGCCTGTGGATGCCACTGGCAGGCCCATCCAGCCCGAGGGTCCTCTCATTAAGATAGACATGCCCAGAAAACGCTACCCAGCATGGGATGCACACTTTGTGGATCGGCGCCTGCGCAGGACCATAAATGTGCTGCAGTACATTAGCCCTAACGCGGTGGGCATCAGGTATAGGGACGGTCCACTTCTCTATGAACTCCTGCAGTACGAATCCTCCCTCTGAAGGCATCTTCTCCCACAGCTCTGCCAACGTCCTCTTACACACTACGATGCACATACTTATCCTTTCTTGGACTATGCTCTTCCTCCTCTCCAGATATTATCTCTTTCCATTTGACACACTGCTATCTCCTTCTCTCCTCTCTGATCATTCTATTTTCCTGCAAGAGATGTGTGTCGAGACGGTCGAAACACACAGCCATGATTTATTTTTGGAAAAGAAACATACAGTACAGAGATCAAATCATGAACCTCCAGTATCTGATACAGAAGAATCATGTAAATCCCTCTACATTGATATAGGAGGGTTCTGTATGCGTGTGTAGATAAAATATGAATGTTTCATTATGAAATGTGTTTAATACATTATACTGTATTGGTGATTCAACCTGTGAATACTTTTGAAGGGCATATTGTATGTCCCTGTGACATGGGACTGGCGCAAAGGCTGATGGGAATGATGGAGGAGAGTCTCAAAGGGGGCAGGTCTTTGCACATCCCAACATTTACTGCCATTCTTTATGTAAATGATTGTACTGTATGATAATGTTTACTAATTCCTTAGCCCGTGAATTGAAAAGCACTGAAATCGCGATACTGTAAATAACAAAAAGGACACAATCAAAGATATGTCCAGAAGAAGCACTTCAAAATGGATTATCCCTCTGTGAGCCATACGTGGCTCAAGTGGAACCTGGCCGTACTATTTTTGTTCAAAACCCTTAATCATAATCGCATCATGTATGGAAGGAAAAAGAAGCACACCGACCTTCAATCAGTTCCACCCACATATATAATTTCAACAGTGCAGATTGCCCTCCAGTGGAGGCGAACTGGAACGGCATGCCTTACATGGTTATTTTTGCCCGTAATTGTGACAGCACAAATATTAAAGAAAAACACAATGAAAGGAAAGTAGAATGTAATGGAAATGAGCACAACATTTTCTGAATTGGTGGGTATATCATAATTAAACATTCCAATGACTTTTTTAAAGATTGTAGGGGTTTAGTAAAGGGTAGAAGGGTATAAATGTGTTAACACACATTTTTGTTTGAATTGCAAAGACAGCCTTCAAGGAATCCTCCACCATTCCCTTCTGAATCCTAGAAAGTACAGCCTCCCTATTTTGTTTTCTAATCAACAAATGTTAGGGTTGATAATATATGCTTATCGGGTGCAAAGACTCGTAATAAGTTCTTTAAAAAAAAGACAACTAGGAGAAGATATTTCTATGCTATTATACTTCAGTGCGTTTTTGTGTCCTCATTTATAGTCATTGATACATTGACATCTATATTTTGCCAGAACACAAACTTTTTACATAACAACAATTGTTGTGCAGTGCAGTGTTAAAAGTTATACTCCTCAACATCAGTGTGCCCTCAAGAGTTTATACTCTAATATGGGTGTACAGGTCAACTGTTTTGGCACTGCTAGTGCAGTTGAAACAAAGCCAAATTGCATCTTACAGAACTGTCTTTCCATCGTATCTGCCCCCTTGAACCAGTAGAATGAGTCCTTGCTAAACATTAACATATATAGGCCTGCTGTAAAGTGAGTACACACAACATCTCCCAGCTGAACCTGCGGGAGTTCTTCACTACGGATACACTTGGGACGGCCACTGTATTTACTCATGACAATAATGAAATCAAATATTTAAAAAAAGATGCCTTCGAGGTCAAAGGAGTTTGACTAAAACTCCCAGAGAGGGCTACTAAACAATTTATTTAAAAAATGAATGCATTTCATACTCCAATTGTATCTATTTACTCAATGATTCATCCAAATATATAATGTGTGTTTTCTACATTGTTTGGCATGACGTTAGTATGAGGCATTAGTACCAATGCACCCAACCAGGGATGACCAAGAGCCCTACGCAAAGCAGAGATTCCTTTCTCCTGGCTCACAGGCTTTCTGCTTAGCTGTGGCCAAATGTGCCTACTAACATCGTACTGTAAAAGGCAGATGCCACGTTAAGTCCAGGCCAAAGGTGAGAGGGGGTTTTTGCCAGGGATGGAAATGAACATGAGGACAGAACTTGAGAAAGGTCTTAACTGAATTATGCTGTATGACTCTTCGTATGCTTGTGTAAGAAAGATGGGTGTTTTATTGTTAGCGCGTGCTGTGCAACCTACAGTTTGTGTTTGGGATTTAAGTGTGTTTGCGTGGTGGTGTGTATGCATGCGTGTCATGTGTATCTCCTGAGCCCTTTTCCACAGTTCTGTCCTCTCGCCGAAAGTTCGGCTCCACCCTTGGTTGCTGCTCTGCCCTCTTCCCAATCCCTGCGTTGCTGGGCCTTGGTGCACTCCCATGACACACTCTCACACTTTCTGGTAACTGAACAACGGGGTTGAGGCTGAACAACTGGAGATCCTGGCATGAGAACATGCAATGAGGTACACTGCCATAACCAAGAGCTTCAACATCCAGGGTCTGCCACCCTTCAGCTTAAAGCGATGTTCAGCCCTGAGTAATATTTAACTGTTGGGTCAGCTAGGGTGGAGCAAACATCCAACACCCCATATGTTTTGATATACATGAGTATGCAAACAACCAAGTTGTTCATTGTTTACCATAGCAGCCAGTAGTTCTCTTTGTTGTAGTGAATTAACAGCCATGTTAATAGCAAGCCAATTAATGTAAAAAAATATTGTTGGACTTAAAAAAAAAAACTAAGCAAAACAGCCAATACAGGGGTTCCTCAGGACCAACAACCAAGACCACTATACCAGCTGACTCAGGGGTGTCTCAATGCAGTTCTCATCCCCAGGCATGTCCTCCATTTTTTCCTTACAAAATTGCATCCTGGACCACTGGGATTGCACCACTTAATTATGGTTTGCACCATAATAATATTTGTTTTAATGGGAATGGTTGCTCATTCTTATTATTGGTGGGGGGATAGGCCGTTTTTTGTGGTAGTTGGCTGCCTGGCAAACACTGCTGACATTTTACAGACATGGACATAAGTCCAAATCAGGTGCAAATACACTGTGATTAATTCATTTTTGTGCGGGTGTGTTTGTGTGGGAGTACGGTAGTATATATTATAACAACCAAGATTATGTACAATTGGGCTGCATTTCATCTTGTGGTGCTTAATGTTGTATAATGCAGAGTATTTATGCTTGCTTAGCTGTGTCATATGAATAAAAGTAATTACAGTTAATTACATTGTTGATTTTAATTAAGTATGTGAAGAGTCTAAATGTACAAGTCTAGATTTTTATGAAACATGCAGTATATTTTACTTATTTCTACAGAACAATCACATTATTGCCACATTCTGTGTATTTTTAAACAAATTAGCTAGAAGCCCAATAAGTGGGTTTTAATTTAGTATTTTTAATGTTTTCCTTAATTATACACAGGTTTCAAAAGCTAAGCTACACAAGGGTTGCATTTGGAAACGTTACCAAATAATATTATATTTGGCCGCCACACTTTACAATATGAACAAGGTCACAAAGAAATCCCCTGTTTCTGTCAGGTTACAAGCCCACATCTTTCAACTGACACAACGCACAAGAGTGTTTAAGTAGCAAGCTTGTTCTACTCAGTCCTTGTTGTGCCTTGTTACTTTGGGTGCTTCAATCCAGCCATGGCAGCCAGGCCCGCAAACAACAATGCCAATTTGTTTCTTTACTTGTTCCATGTGCCAGCCCACTCATCAAGATGGTGACAACACCAAACAATATTCTTCCTGTTTGTCTCTCCAAACCAAATCAAGCCAAGTTCTCAATTTTGTCACCTCATTTGACAACTCCATTTAATCTTACTATTTCATTTAAGTTGACATCCACAGTTGCACTGTTTCCTCGTTACAGTGTTACAACTAATAACAGAGTGAAAGAACCAAGTGGTGCGTATGTCAAAGACATGGGAGGAGAAGTAAGGCAATACTGAACACCTTCTGTACTTGAACGTGGGGTTCCTCATCTATATTACGTTGGAGCAAGCTGAAATACAACAGCCCCAGTTAATTCAGCAAGTTACAATTAGCAGTTTGGACTAAGCTCTAAAGTGTTAGTTTTGGACTGTTTGATGGAAACTCTTAACAGATGCCAGCCACGGTACCGAGCGATTTGGTCAATGATTGTTTTGTACTTTTGTCTATGCCTTTACATCTACTTCTGTCTTGCAATGATGAATGATTTGTGGTGCCAAGACGTAAAGTTTCTGTGTCGTTTGTCTTGTGTGAAAAATACATCCTCTAGCCAAAACAATAATGCCTGCAGTTGGATTTGAACGAGAGTCAATGATGACAAAATGCGCAAAAAAAACATTTATGTTGCATAAATGTTGCTTACAATGTAAGGATTAACAGGCCTGATCACTATTTCACTTTTAAATAACCTGATTTTCTTGTTTTCCTACCACCTCCCAGCATGCCTTTGGAAGTCATTGTGAGGTGACCCTCAACATTTAGCATGTAAGTGCTCTCGACTGCACAACAAACCCTCTGATTTCTGCATTAATATGTAGCAGCAGGTCAGTGTCTGTACCTTTGTGTCATGACTCATGGCCATCTCTTTGACCACTGGAGCAGTATGTTCAGAAGATAAAATGGTGCATTTTCTTCTTTTATTTTTGATTCCGGTTTGATTTATGTTAATAACCTGGTGCTGAATAAATACATTTAAAAAGGTGCTACTACTGTGGACTGCAGTCCACTTTTTAGCTTTCTGATAGCATAGCCTTCCAGTTGACTGAGAGGGCCTTCGCCCCACATACTTGCAGTCTCAAAATGCTTGAGCGCTAGCACCTTACAGCCACATAGTTTACAGCAGACTTCAACTCTCAATGGTGCCATTTTGATTTCCTAACTTGCTCAAAAAACGAGTGACTCTCTGCATTTAATGTTTAATATACTGGTTTAAGCATAGAGTATGTTTTTCGTCTACTATGATTCAATCTGCACTAGGATTTTTTTATTTCTTTTCTCTGAGAGAGAATGAAACTGGCAGATAAATGCATCTTTATGGCAGACGAACAGGATCACAAATGCTACCTACTGGAGTTTGGGTTAAAAAAATAGAACGTGATTGCTGTGTTGTAAATTCCTGTCATCTATATGTCCTTAATCTGTGTGTATCTACTTTTTGTTGTTATTGTAGAATTGGCTGTAATATTTTTGTTTAACATGGATTTGATATTCCAATTAAGCGACTATGGTTGTTATATTAATTGCTGCTGATTTTTGAAATAGTTATCAAATTGTGTTGGGAAATAATGCTTTGTTTATATTCAATCAATTTCTAGATTGTGTTAGCTTGTTGGTGTATTTTACAAATCAGGATATTTCCTAGACCATTATTATTTTTTCCAGGGTATTCCAAATGTTGGCACAATGTCAGAAAGCTAATTTGCTACAATCTGTAGCATCTTTATGAAAGTGTACTCATACAACCAATGTTTTAACTGAGAACATAAAAGGAATGGTTTCTTTGTTGTTGTTAAATATAACATATTACACTGTTTAATGGAAACCCTGTTCTTTAAAAAAAGCAAAACTGATGTCCTTTTTTTGGGAACAATATGAATATTATTAATAACATATGGTGCTACGGTTCTTTTTGTATGTTTTGGTTTTTAGATGAAAAGAGAAATATTATGCTGAAAATGTAATGTTAAGCCTTACTGTAGATTCATATATCAGACTGTTCATCCCAGAAAAGAAAAATAAATATAGTATTTAAAAGTGCATTTTAGTACTGTGTTCACATGCACAATTCAACATATGAAGGCAGATGCAAAGATGTAAGCTACTCACCTTAATTGTGTTCTAATGTGATACATTCCAGCCTCTGTATATTTAGCAGATAAAAGGCCTCCACACTCACACAGGTGTTTTTCATTTAATTTGAATATACTTATTCAGGTTGAAGTTGTGGTGGGGATTACTGTGATAACACCAAACACAGAATGATGCATTAATCAAAATAATGAAAGTGAACATTTTTAGAGATGACGATCAATCTGAGGAAGGTGTAATCAGGGACAATAAGTGAAAACACCTGCGTAGTTTGACTAAAGCTGTTTAAGATCTTTTAACATGAGTCCAATACATCACATAATTTTTGCTAATTATTTCACGATACCAACAATAATTATTATGGAATATATTTGGCACATTGGAATAACAGTTCAAATATAGGTGACATTTTCTTAATTGCAGTTGTAATTTTAGAGCCAATTTAGAAGGGTGTATTATTTTATTTGAAAAGAGACCTTTAACTTAACAAATTCAGACCTCATTAAATCACAAATGACCTAAAAAAGCCATCAAAGTGACATTTCAGGACCATCCCAAATCAATATTTTTAATGGCAGTCATTTTTATCATTTTATTTTGTCAGAAGTAAAAAGAGTAGGAAGAACACGGCTGAAACTGATTTTATATTTGTATTAGTGAAACAAAGCAAAGGTAAGACTTATATGGGTGATGTGAATAAATACACACGACAACACAAAACAAAATAAATAGAGCACATGTTAGGTTAAATGGTGTATGGTGTGTGTGTACTGTATTATCAAAGGTGCACAGCAGTGTTACTACAGTGGAGTCATATGGTTTAAAGGGGGAAAGAAGGAAAGACATAGAGAGTAGTCAGGAAACAGCTTTCCTGACAGGGTTGGCTTATTATATCCCACTTTGCAACCATTTACAAATATTGGGTTTCATTTGTATCAGCAGTTATTTATTTTGTAAACCTTTTTTCAGTAGGTACCTTTTTAAGCATCCCCCAGGTGAACCTCATTTTTTTAACCATTTCATCAATTACACCTGTGCTTTTTCTTAGACAAGCCAGAAGCTTGAAATAGGTCTATACCTTAGGCTACATACTTTTTACACAGGTTTAGAAAAATGAAAGGTAAGCATGTGATATGTATACAAATTAAATACCACTGACAGTTACCTATGAGTACATAACGTAGCCTACCCTTTCTTTTGTTGCCACTTTGCAGCCAACCTTGTGAGTCTAGTCTCTTTTCCACTTTCATATCCTCTTGCTGAATGCATGTCTCTGTCTTGTTCACCCCACTTGTCTTCTCTCTCACTCTCTGTTGCAGTCATGCGTGTACAATCATGTCCTAGTAAATAGGGATATAAAACAAAAGCCGTAAACAGGCTGTCAGACATTGCTTTCATATAACATATTTATAGTCTCTTGCTCAGTGAAACACCTGCATTTGAACAGCTCAATTGTGATTTTAGACTTAACCTTAACAATAATACTGAAAGGAGTCAGAGCCTTTCCTGTTATTTAAAGTGAAAATGTCAGCTGTTGAAAAACAATATTGTATAAAGTTTTAAAATAATAAAGTAAAAGTGAGATTTGGTGAATTTAATTACGAGAATTGAGGCAAAAATGTCAAGTTCTGTCAACATTTCAAAATCTTCTCAAATATGAGTCTCCATAAAGCTGTTTTTAAAAAAGCATTTACCTTATAAAATAAAGTATTCAACGTTACAGCTAATGTTAATACAAGTTAAAGTAGTCAACTGCTGTTAAGCCAACCCTGCATTAGCTGCGCTATAAATTATAATCACCAAATATATACTCTGTCTGCATTAGGTGCTCTATAATTAACAAATATACGTTTTGGTCTGAAGTGAATCTCTGTCACTCAATACATTGCTTTTCTGTAATTACAATGTATATTATATTACCTGAAATTATGCCTGTGAAGTGATACTGAAGAAGCGCCTCGTCAAACTGCCTGGGCGGTGTTCTCACTATGTGTTCTCACAGCTGTTTTGGTTTGTGCAAAGCATAGCATGCTGGACCACTGTTCAACGCCCAAAATGGCGGCACGATTGAAAAGTTTTGCCTGTTTTATCCGAGTTTGTTTTCTTAACAGTCTACTGCTTTAGTTGTGTTCGCGGCACTGAAGCACACCATTCGCACACTGGTGTCACGCCGGTGTATAATCTAACACTTGCGGAATAAGGCAGATCATAATGACATTTTGCTATCAGCTCAAATTCGGACATCACTTTACCAATGCTAGGCTAGCCTAAGCTAGGCTAGCAAGCTAACTACTTTCAGATGAGTGCTGGTTAAACATATTCTGTAGATAGTTATGTGTTTTCACACCTTGCTCCCCACGCTGAACTGAATATGAAGAGGAGGACCTTTACATAGAAATGGAGGATGATGTGAAAAAAGTGAAAAAGGTAAGTCGGGCCATTGTCACAGCTAGCATTACTTTTTACTGCAAGTTTGCCAGCTAGCATGCTAACTTACTAGCTACTCATACCAGACTAGCTTAACTGTTTGCTGGCTAAGTTTATAATAAATATGGAGTCAATGTCCGCGAGCAGGGGCCAACATATCACGATAACATACTGACACTTTCCCGACTTTTCATTGAATACGTAGAGTGTGTAATTTACAGAATGAATGTTACATAAAGTTATCTTCAGGATGTGCAACAGATAGAACCTAAAAAAACAGAGCAACGTTTTACAAGAGCAGTGTAAAGTGTCTTAATTTATAATCAACATGAGCTTCGTGATCTGTTGTTGGTTCATAGTTCTCTGAATATCGACTTTGCATTGTTAGTTTTGTAGTCCAGATGTGCTATTTATAGTAACGTCCTGAAAACATCGGCAACTGGTGTGTTACTGTGGCTGATTGTGCGTTTGTTTTGGGTTGTGTTAACAGTGAGGCTATGGCTCAAAGAGAGTATTCCCCTAAACGTAATGAAAGCACAACCATGTGTTTTTCAGAGTAGTAACTCTCGTCGTTATGTGTAGGCGTGGGTCAAAGAGGATCTGTGTGCTCAACAGCTGTCAGTCTCAGTCATGCTAAGGGGAACCAGCATCCTTTACCCAGCTCTCACAGACAAACAGACACATACTGCCTAATGATCCCCTTTGATGTGGAGGCAGATCGGTATGTTCAGACACATAGCTGACATTTCTTTTATCTGACACAAAGGACATTTTCCCTCTGTTCTTCGTGTTGTTCACAGGAGGAAGGGCAGAACCCTCCAAATCTAAGCAGGACATTACATTGACAAGCTCTCACAACCTTAGCAATGCAGTGAAGTGTCTTATGTTAACATTAATGCTATGACTGTGCTGACGTCCATCATCTTTTCCATGTTATTTCCCATCCAATTCAATGTCCTCTTGATGTGAAGGGAAATTTGGACGGAAATGAATGGATATCCTTATGTTAATAGAGTTTGTTATGGCAAGGAAATGTTTTTGTCAGCAATTTTAACAAACCCAAACTCTGCCTGTGGTTGGATTAAGGCTCGTCTTTAAAACTTCAACTCAGAAAATGTTGATATGACTAAATACTTGTGGCCCCAAAACAGATAGATTTGAAGTAAATATATTTCAACGCCTGCTTGGCAGCATTGTGGTTTTCTGGAAAGATGGGGGACCAAATATCAGTAATACCTCTAATCTCAGTATAAAGTATTGTTTTTAGCTCTATGAAACTGGATAAGCCACATGTTTAGTACTGTCTTTAAGGGTTGATGCGCTTTACTTTTAGATTGGTGTCTCCAGTGCATACAGTTTCTGTATATGCCACTTGGTGGAGATAATGAACAACATTTTTGCCCAGATGTATTCTTGATGATATATTAAAAGCAGTATTAAAATATGACACAAGTGAAAGCTCAGACCCCTTCATGTGATGTCCTGATAGTGTTACTTTCACTTTGCTAAATATAAACTTATTTAAACTCAAACTGTCAGAGGTATCTGGAAAATGTAAGGATATGATTAGCTACTCTTTCATATATATTGTATTGGCTTGCTTTCAGACCAGCATGAGCAGAAGTAGTTAAAAACTGATCAAAATGAATGGGCATATATTAGGGATCGACCGATATGGCTTTTTCAAGGCCGATACCGATTATTAGTAATCAAGGAGACCGATAACCGATATTTAGAACCAATATACATTTGCAATCAAATCAGAAAATCTTGGTGTCAAAATGTAGAATAACACAAACTCCAACACAACTCAACACAACTTCTTTGAAATGCATTTAAGCATATATTATGTTTAATTAACTTTTAAACATCTTACAACTGGTTTCCTCTCTGTGCCCTTTTCTTTAGTGCAGTCATCTGCAATGAGTTAGAGAGAGAGACAAGAAGTGGGGCTGCAGGCTGACATGCTTAACTAACAATAATGCTTAATTTATTAGATCTGTCTATCTAGCATAAAATCCCAATAAACTGCTAGCAACTGCAAAACACTAGTGCTAGCTAATGTTTTGCAAACTATTAAAAGTGAGGCTATTAGAGTAACGTTAGTCTAGTAGCCTCACTTCTAATATTTTTCTAAACATTTGCTAAATACATGTTGGCTAGCTAATGAGCTTCCCATATCAACCTGAAAAACTGCAAGGCTCCACTCGCAGCCCCTCCCCCCTCCCTCCGCACCAGTTACTCCGCTGCGAGACGCTGCACACCCCCAACTCTGACTGACTTCCCGCGTCCCTGTGTAACTGGGAAACTGATAGAATTTGATCATAAGATCGTGGTGTTTTTGCAACTTCAGCATAGGGGATAGGGATGTTTATTGAACTTCGGTTTAACACATGTATGGCTCTGCCGCTCAGCGCTGCTGCTTGCTTCAGTCTGTGTCTGCGTTCTTTCGCACCTGCCTGTAATCTGAGAAGGTCCCGCCTCTCTGGCTGGCTCCCGCCCGGAAAATCTTCAGTAATAGCCTATCAGATAGCGCTGTGGGCGGGACATTGCTCGTGTACACTAATGCCCCTTTCACACCAGCGCTTTTTCAGCTCCGGCTCGGAGCTGGAGCCTGAAAAGCGCCGGTTTTTCCTGTTCACACCGCAGCGGCGCCGGCTCTTAGCTCCGGAATCCGGCTCACTTCCAGCTCCAAAAAATTGTCGGTCTAGAGACAAGAGCTTCGGAGCTAAGAGGTGGCGTCGCTTACGTCTCTCTTACGTCGAGGCGTGCAGGAAACTAAACCCACCTCCCCTGAACATGGGTCGACTGTCATGCCTGTCTACAAGCAGTAGTGCTTATAAACACACTTTATAAAGTCAGGCAACACTAACCAGGCTTCGTGTGATTCTGTTTATTTGTACCTTACTTTGACCATCCGTTCATTGTTATTGATCATTGTGGAGAGAGGCAGACGTTTTGTTTTGTATTATAGCAGCTGTCGGATGGAATCAATACATGGGCTGCACAGGTTGTCGTGTCCGACTATCACAAGTAGAATCATAATAAAAATACGCCGGTAAAATGTGCCTGTAGAAAACGGTTTATGCCGCAATAGGATAGCAATAGCAAGTAGTCAGTTTAGCTTCGGTTGCTATGCTAACATCACCCATTTTATACCAGAGAAACTTTCATAACAGCGTTGTGATGCCAAACAGCGTCAATTCAGACTGACACACATTCAGGGGAACTGGGGATATGTATCAGCTGCTTGTGTGAGTTGGACAGTGAATACTTTAGAGCGGCCGCAGCAGTGTGAGCTAACCGGGAGCTAACGGGAGAAGAAACTCCCGTGGAAGAGCAGCCAGCACTGCAGCGGTCGGTAAATGCTGCAGAAACACATTAATAAACATTGAACCACGGCACTCTGGAGCAAATCATAAGGTTGGAGAAGTCGTTATTTAATTTAATCTGGCTTCGTGTGATTAAAAGCAACACGATCATCGACCAGACGCAGTTCCCCGTTGTTGTTGTTGTGAGCACCGTAATGCCGTTGGGGAGCAAATCAGCGATGTAAACGGTGACGTCATGACGCAGCAGCGGCAGCACCAGTCGGGCTCTGGGCGGTGTGAACAGAGCGGGAGCAGAAAAGGGAAACCGGAGCTGAACCAGAAAAGCTCTAGCTCGGAGCTAGAAAGGGAAAAGCGCTGGTGTGAAAGCCGCAAGAGTGGTGACTGCAGCCAGAGAAACGGCCGCATCAGAGCCAAAGTTTTATCGGCAATTTGATTAAAAAAAAGGCCGATACCGATAATCGGTCAAATGCGGAATATCGACCCCTAGCATATATAACCATGCTGCTTCTTACATCTGGAAAGGCAGTCACAATGCCTCGCAGAAAACTAAACATGCATGTCGTGCATATTGAGTACAAATGGGACTTAAATTGCTCAAGTCCACCTGAACTTTTTTTTTTTAATCCTGACCATAACTGCAAAAGTAAGCCACAAATCATCCTCTCGTATGTTTCTTACTAAACAGACTTTAAGAAAAGGCATTTCATTATTTTAAAGTCATTCCCTTGGGTCAACTACTGTGGCTCTTGTCTCCCATTTCCCAAGGACAAGCTATTAAATGTTAATGTAGGTGTCTTCACGAGCAACGTACTTATAAATAATGCACCAGTTGTAGGTTGTGCTGTTCAATGGTTTGCCACAATTTGGCTCGAACTTCATCAGATTCTCTGCATTTGTGGTATTATTGAATCTGCAGTGTAAACAGCCTTGCAAATGTGACGTGTGGTTAGCATCGATGTGTATAGACCTTCAGTAACAGTCCTGAGTAAGTGATGCACAAAGGCAGCAATCATCACATCACAATCCTGGAGTTAGTGATTATCACGACATGTTCTTTTGTCCATAATTAAGTGAAAATAAAACTAGAAGTGTGTTCAGTTAGTGCTTCAATATTCATATGAACGCGCGTGTCATCACAGGAAGTTGTGGCTAGTCCGCTTCCTGCTCTTGTGCTTGAAACCAGAGGCTGACACACTTCCTTTCCTCTGCGACGGGTCCCGCCCCTCATGACGTTTGATCCTGTGTGTCTGTCACCAGTTGGCAGCTGTCACTGTGTGAGGGGAGGCAACAGGTGACTAGTGCAGACGGCGAGCGTAGCAGCATCTGTGGCCAGGCAGTGTGTTTGGCGTTAGGCGACTCTTCTAGCGAGAGGGTTCATGGAGACCGAGGTAGGCTTTGTAATGCTTTGAATCTAGAAAGGTGTATTGTATTAGGCATAATGTAATGGACAAACTCTATCAAGGTTTTATTTAATCGCATTCGCAGCACACTTAACTGAGCTCCTAAACAGTGCTGCATTGTTACCAGTTGATACAGGACATTACATTTAAAAGTAAAGCAATAAAGGCTTTTTAAATGGTATATTCAGTAATATCTTAAAGAAAATTCATTCTTTTGTGACTAATTTGTGATTTGTAATGTTAAGTTCCACTGCAAACACCTCCAGTTTTGCAAAGCTTTCTTGTGCACATGCTATTGTTGACATTTGAGTAACATGTATTGGATAACAGGGTAGGCTTTGCATCTGCTGTGTCTTACTTCTCAGCAACCATTCCGCCACGGGAAGCAGGCTCAGCATAAATTACAAGGCTTTAAAGAACCACACTCAACCGACGTTTTTCTGACAGACGTTACACTTTTAGCTTCAATTGCGTAGCCCATTGCATGTACATTATATCTAGGTAGTGGATATGAATAGTCCTGTATTCTTTATAACATACTGTTGCATAGAAACAGATTATGGCAATAGTTTATCATTTAGAGAGTGTGAAATGCTACATATCCACACATATTGAGTCGCATTTCCTTCTGCATTTTGGAAAGCAGCATGTGAGAATCATCTAATACGTCTCACCCTGCTTTCTTTGTCTTTATTCACCAGCCTGGTATCGTGTCTCCGTTCAAGAGAGTCTTTCTGAAAGGAGAGAAGGGGAGAGACAAGAAGGCCCAGGAGAAGGCCACCGAGCGCAGAGCACTCCACACCTTCTCACTCTCTCAACCCGACCACCGTATAGACCCTGACATCCTGCTTAATGACTACATTGAGAAGGAAGTCAAAGTGAGTGACTAGCAGAGATATAAACTCCCTTACCTCATACGCATAAATGTTGAAACACTATTCATTCAAGCAATGCTATGGCAATACGTTTGTGACTGTTCTTTCTTTTCCAGTACTTGGGGCAGCTATCATCAGTTCCAGGATACTTGAACCCATCAAGTCGCACAGAAGTGCTGCAGCTCATTGACACCGCAAGGGTTAGTATCTGAGAAAGAGCATTTCACTTCTTTGTCCACTTGTTGGTTGCTAATTTCAAAATAAATGGTTTTGTTTCTTAGATTGAACTCCTTTAATAGATTAGTTCTGTTCATGCAAAGACAGAACTAGTGTTAATTTCGTCAGCTATTTTTTTATTTAGTAATAGTCCTGTGTTAAATTTTCTTTTTAGTTTTAGTCATATTTAGTCACCTTCATCCTGTTTTTATTTAGTCAAGTTTTAGTCGACTAAAAGTCTGAGCATTTTAGTCTTATTTTAATCGACTAAAACAGTAACTATTTTAGTCAAGATTTAGTCGACTAAAAGTCTGAGCATTTTAGTCTTATTTTAGTCAAAGAAAACTAATTATTTTAGTCTACTTTTTGTCAATGAAAACTGTTGAGTCTTTTTTAGTCATCAGATTATATAGAACATTTCAGTCAAACTAGTCTAGCCAAAACCAATAATTTGTCATTTTAGCAAATATAAATAAATAAGATTATATATTGTCCTTATTTGATGAAAACCACAGGTTGAATGATTAAGAAGCTTTGCAGAGAGTATCTGGTCAGGTTTGTGGTGTTTTTACCTGTGTTATGGCCACATTGCTTCCCTTCTGATGAAACAATGCATTCGCTTTTTTTCTCCGCCTCATTGTAGCGAAAATGGTCGTTTCTTTCTCCCAAGCAGTGGTGGCTTTAGACTTTTTTGTTGTCAGTCATTTTGACGGACAGGATCGTAACATTTCCGTCATAATCCATTATTACCCGTCGAGTACACAATGTATCACTCACTCGCGCTCGCGTATTCGGTTAACGCGAGTGCGACCACTGCTCCCAAGCCCTGTTGTTGCCATTTTATTTTCTGTTAAATAAGGTCAGTGAGACCATGAGTTAGACTGGAGTCTTCCTGACCGTTCACAGTGTGCCGCTGCCCGGTGTAATTCAAATGTACCGCCACGCGCAGCACAGACACACAGCTGCTGCCCTGCCAGAGCACCGGAAATGGAACTGCTGGGAGAAAAACTGACTATCAGAGATGTAACGTTATCTTTGATAATATTTCGTCAACGAAAGTAAAGAGAGATTTTGGCATAATTTTTATTTAGTAAACTACATTTTCGTCTCGTCACTTTTCGTCAACGATATTGCATGATGATTTCGTTGCAGTTATTGTTTACTGCCGTCGGTGCCGTCTCGTCATCGTCTCGTTTTCGTCATGGAAAAAAAGGTCGTTGACGAACATATTTCGAACGCAGTTGTCAGATATGGCATTTATCATTTCCATCATGTCAGGGATAATTACCCTCTGCTCACGCCTCTGTGATTCTCAGAAGTCCCATCAGTTGGCGGGCCAGCTGACATCGGAGCAGGACGCCGTGGTGAGCTTGTCGGCGTACAACATAAAGCTAGTCCGGCGCGACGGAGAAGACATCATCCTGAGAGTGCCCATCCATGATATCGCTGCTGTGTCCTACATCAGGGACGACTCTCTGCACCTCGTGGTGATCAAAACAGGTGGACAACATTGTTTACATTTTAAAGATGTTCAAATGAAGTGGTCAAATAAGTCATGTTGTGAATTTACAGTAGAGAGGAGTCACCTGCAGTCCTGTTTAAACATGTTTTGTTTTAATTGTAGCCAACATCACATAAACATCAGGTCCATCTGGTTGTTTATTTTGTTGTCTTCTTTATGTCAACAAGTAATAATGAGGATATGATAATGTTAAATCCCATTAAGTGGTTAACTCATGTCTTTCTTGAGTAACTAGAAATAATTCAAAATGAGTTCGTAACGTAAAGGGTGGACCAATAATGAAGAAATATTTGGACTTGCAACAAATGAAAATTCTAATTTGACTTTATTATTCTGACTGACTGCGTATTTTTCTTTGCTCTCCAGCCCAGGAGTCGGGGGGTTCTCCTTGTCCCAGCTCGTGTCCCGATCTTAACAAGTCTCAGACCCTGAGCTCCTTATCAGAGAGTGGGGCTGTGCTCGTGGAAGTCTGCTGTCTGCTGGTGCTCGCTGTTGATAATAAGGTATTATTTTGCATCTGTGGCTACGCTAAATGAAAATACATTCCTCAAGTTTATTTAGATTACACAGGTGGCAACAATTTACTGAGGCTACTTTAAAAAGTGAATTGATTTTTGGCTCCAAGCCACCTACAGGGCTGTTTGAGAAGGTTTCCCAACAAACAAATACACCAAGTAAAAGTGCATACAAATCTATCGATAACAATGATTCAAAGATAAACTCATGGAGCCTTTTAAAAGTGGCATAGCACAGAAGGTCAACTGCAGCTAATCCCCAATGGTTTAAAATGGCTTAGCTAAATTAAACTATGCAAGAAAACTCTCACATGTATAGTTTTACAAGATGTGAAGCTAACGATGACATTGTGAATATGTATCGGAGCACTGTCGTAACTTGGTTCCTGCAGAATGTTGCATTTATAGACACTGTGTTTGTCTTCCAGGCAGCAGCGGAGGAGCTTTGTCTCTTGCTCAGCCAGGTCTTTCAGATTGTTTACACGGAGTCAACCATCGACTTCTTGGACAGAGCCATTTTTGATGGAGCAACTACACCTACCAGACACCTGTCTCTATACAGCGGTAAGGGGAAAATAGGAAACACAAACTGAATGGGACTAGTCATTGTCCTTTAACAAGTTTATGTGTTGTTGATTCAGAAATAATCCTTTTAATTATTCACTTGTTTTTTATTTTGCAGAGGATTCTTCAAGCAAAGTGGATGTTAAAGAGTCCTTTGAAGGGGAAGCAGGCACATTGTAAGAACACAGTTGAGTCCTACTTTGATCATAGGTTTTCAGTTGGACACAGAAAGAATTTGACACGTTTGTTTTTATCTCTCAGTCCTTTCCAGGCATCTATGGAGGCAGAAGGAAGCTCCCCATCAGCGTCCACCCCTGCTTCCCCTCAAACGAAGACGGCGAGTGAAGGAGAGCTCAGCACCACCGCTGCAGAGCTGCTGCAGGACTACATGACCACAGTATGACAACTTCACACCTTTCTGTACATGAGAACATTTTCCCAGACTGTGATTAAAATAAGTCTCTATTTTAATCTCTTTTATTTTCTGTTTAGCTGCGGACAAAACTATCATCACAGGAGATCCAGCAGTTTGCCACGCTGCTCCATGAATACCGTAACGGTGCCTCCATTCACGAGTTCTGCATTAACCTGCGGCAACTGTACGGGGACAGCAGGAAGTTCCTTTTACTTGGTACGACCACACTGTACTCCCATTAGTTAAGAGACAAGGATGTTGGGCATCATGCCACAAGACTATTGTGATGCTGTGGTCAAACCGGCACCATTTCGTCTCCCCACATGAAATCGTGAGATGTTGTAAAAAAACACGTGGATAAAACTGCCAGTAGCACACATTTTTTACTCAATATTTAAAAAGAAAACACCTGTGTTTTATATCAGAATAAATGCAACAGAAATGTTTTAAAGTAGGGCTGCACAATTAAGTGGAATCACAAGATGCAATATCTTCTGCAGAGACATTCCTATTCTACAGGCTTTATAGAAATCCTTGTTTGCTACAGATCCTTTTTCAAAAATCACTTACCTTTTTAATATTATTAAACAGTAACCGTATGCCTTGTAATCTCTCGCTGCAGGCCTGCGCCCCTTCATACCAGAGAAGGACAGCCAGCACTTTGAGAATTTCCTGGAGACCATCGGTGTGAAGGACGGCCGAGGCATCATCACGGACAGCTTCGGACGCTACCGCCGCACAGCAAGCTCCGCCTCCGACTCCACCACCAACGGGAACGGCGCGGCAGGAGGGAGCGAGGCCTCGGACGAGGGCCAGGAGGCCTCGGAGGGGGACGAGTGGGACCGCATGATCACGGACATCAGCAACGACATCGAGGCCCTCGGCTGCAGCATGGACCAGGAGGGCGTGGCCCCCTGAACCAGAGAACACAGGGGGACACTGAGGAGGTGAACAAGTAGGCATGAGCTGAACGGATCAGATGAAGGGGGTCCGAAGCACTGACCTAAGAGTTTTTTTTTGTTTATTGTATTTTCCTCTAATTATCAAGAGGACGTTCCATAATCCCCACGCACTCAAGGAAAACCTCAACCTATCACCACGAAGAAAACAAACATGAAGTCAACAAATGCACTTATGCTGCAGACATTAGGCAGTCAGTGGGCTATTTCTGCATTTCAGAGGATTTCAGAGCCTCTGATTTATTTTGAAAGTCACTTGATTTTGTACTCTTTTTATTGGCAGTATCTGCCACGGCTGTCGGCATTGTAGTGAAAATCTCCAGTGATTGAGAATATTTCCGGCTGTTTTTTTCAACGTCTCAAAGCTTGTGTGCATGTTTTAGAAGGTAAAGACTGAGGCTGTATCGGTGTGCTGTTGTATTACCATTAGGTCAGTCAGCTTCATCCACCAGGAGAACTTTCATTTATTTCACATTTGTGTGTCGCTGTGAGAGTGGAACATTTTGATATATATATCATTTTTTCTCATAAGATTTGTGTATCACTTAACAGTACACTATCATTTTTTTATCAGTGTTTACTCTTATATATATATGTTTGCTTTATTCAAACTGACCAAGGAAATGCTGTACCAACAAAACATTCTCAGTCAATCCAAGCGATTGAGTGGAATGTATTTGACACAGCCACTTATGGCTGATGTAAATGTATGATTTCTCCTGCAGGTCATCTTTGTTATGTCACCTGATATTACATGTATCTGTCATTGTGCCTTTACACTGCAGTACTGCTGCCGACTGTCTGCCACACAGACAGGGAATTATGAACTGTAACTACAGTTGTTGAGCAAATCATGGTTATTAAATAACAGCTATTTACACTGACATGTCTGTTTTTCTTTACAGCGCTAAGCATTAATGAGCCTTTTTATTATTCTACGCTGCTGCATTATAAGCAGTTTGAAATGAGGCTGTGCTGTGTATGACTTTCATACACCAAATCTGACCCGAGACGCGAAGGTTTAATCTGATTATGATCCTCTCTGACTGATCATGTGCTTGGATGCACGTAAGCTGCTGTGAAACATCAGTGAGTTTCATCAAAGCAATCATGCCAGACATGCCCTACAAAGTTGGGGGATATTTTTGTGAGTCTTGGAAAATTGGCAAGAAAAATGGAGCTCATTCCAGCCTGTGAAGCCACTCTGGGATTTTAAAACATTTCCTTTACAGATCTACTTTTTATATGATTTTAGAAAAACTGGAATGAGTGGTCCGGATGGAGCAGAGGGTATAGGAGTGCATGTGCAGACTGCAACACTACACCTGGGTTCAAATAGCTTTGGCTCTCGACACTGTCTGCCTCAAACAAAAGGATGATCTAACCGAGCAAATCCTCTCATCACACAAGCAAACTATTCTCGGTTAGTTTCTGAGAAAGTCTCGGCACTGTTTTGGTACATAAGTAGAGTAAATTATTGTTTTTGACACAGCCTCTGTAATCGAGCTATGTTCTCACAGAGCTCGGCAGACTGCTAATTGGCCGACTGTAAATTAATCCAGATTTTAAACAGCAGAATGAACCATGGTGCCTCGTTTGAAGTAGGTCATTATTAAATAGATCTGTTTGTTTAAGTCAGGGGTGCCCAACCTTTTTTTAACCGAGAGCTACTTTTAAAGTTGCCAGTCTGCCGAGATCTACCAGGCCAAATAGAGAGACGTAGCCATTACTGACAGCCTACTACCAGGTAAATACACACTTCTACTTGTATACAACTGACCTTTGTACGATTAATACTTCATAAAATACTGCAGATCCTTTATCTTACCTCTTTCTAATCTACACACATACAAGTATTTAACTGAAGTCACACAACAGTGTTGTTGATACAGAGTTGGAGTTTATTCACACGTCACACCACAGTGGGTAATGTTTTCAAGAAACATTGAACAGTGCTGCCACATATGACACAGGGAAAAAATAAAAGACTCTGAACCCTTTCTTTGCCATTATATAAAAATAGTGTTGCTACAAAAGTATAAATGAGGCTTACTAATAAGACAACTCAGATCTGAAGCTACACAGGAATCTGCTGCCAAAGTGCAATAAAAAGACAACATTAATAGAATCAAACCCTTTTTTTGTTGCATTTTATTAGAGTATAAAAAGAAATGCCTTTAATAGGATGCCAGCAACACTAGTTTCTTAACCTGAATTGATAATAGACTATAATCAATTTAAGTTTGCATTCTTATACCATTTTGTACAATAATTATAATGAATAAGTTCAAACAAACTAAAACTTACAGCTGATTAATAACGGTATCCAACTTGAGTTTTTATTATATCAAAAACCTGTTGAAATGCTACCGTTTTTTACTGTCCCCCAAAAGCGCATCGGCAGCCTCCAGGAATGCTTCTTTCACAACTTCGCAGTCTTTGAAAGACTTCATGTGTTTCTCAAGAACGTGACTGACACGATAAGGTGCTATGGTAGCAGCCTTGCTCTTGTTGGGCCTGGTGAAAATGGACTGCTGTGCATTTAGCTGTCCTTTCAGGCCCCTCCCCTTTTGGAGCGTAGGGCAGAATTAGGAGGGAATTCCGTCTCGTAGCGTTTGTGCACTGTTTTGAAATGCCGCTCCTAAATTACTTTTCTTCGATAAAGCTACGCTCGCATTGCAGATGAGACAGATGGACTTTGAATTGGAATAAATACAAAAATAATCATCCTCCCACTCGGAATGAAAATTATATATGTTTTGCTTCTGCCATAATTGCGGTCTTGTTTGTGTGCGGACTGTCACTCCTGTTGATACGGACAACGTTAGCGAATTAGTGCACTGCCCACTAGCCACGCCCCGACACATGGGGTCACGGCGGCCAATCACAAAGCTTTGATGCGTTCAAGTGCATTATTCTGGCACAGGAAGATTATGTTACAGGACATTAACGATAAAACAGAATATTGTTGTTCTATTTTTAGACACATCTCGCGATCGACTGGGAATCTCCCCGCGATCGACTGGTTGGGCACCCCTGGTTTAAGTCATTAAACAGATCCCATGCTGCTTTATAACAAGAGTATTTACCACAACTGCTGGAGCCCCTGTTGAGCCTCCTGTCACTTTGTGTGAGCATTCCTCATGAAGAAGAATACGATGGGTGTTGGCTCGTTTTAATGAGAAGATTATTGTAGTCACAAATGCAAACATGAGATTTAAGTTATAATGGTTATGGGATTAACATTGTGTAAAATCTGTAAATACAGTGGATTTGCATCTCCAAATGTATGTTTCACAGTTTAAATAAAAAACAATAGATATTAAAATAAGGGTTAATTTATGTTGTGGTTTACCTTAATAAGACTAAAGCCTAGCTAGCCTACCAGCTATAATTAGAAGTAAAAACGTGTTAACAATGGTTGAATTACTTTATTTACTGGGAAACTCCCATATGTATCACCTGACTGCAGTTCCCCTTAGTTCTACATAACTTGTTAACATATCCTGCACATTGTTTTTGTTTTCAGGTCAATTTAACATATTATAGGCATCTGTTCCAGCATCAACAGAAACATCGGATATACGAAGCCCGAAATGGCAGACAAAGTTGGCCACAATGTTGGAACAAATCTGTCCCAAAATTCTGATTAAACAAATTCAAAAAGCTTTAAATATATGTAAAAAAAAACCTCAATCTTTGATCCTCAATGAAAGGCCCACTAGCCTAATCCAAAATTAAAAGGAATCTGCAAGCAAGGGGCTTTTCCCCAAATTAATATCCCACATAGAAAGCTATGGTTTAATCTCTATTTTTTAGCTCCAGGACACTTTTAATAAATGTTCCTCTGACCTTATAAATCTATTTTCCAACAACAAACACAGTCAGAATCTGTGTCTTGACACTCCAGGTGGTTAATGGTGTGGTCGAGTTCAGGCCTCAGCAACGTGCCCTGTTCTCCAACAAAAACAGTGACTCGGCCCTTATTTCTACAACATCAAAAGTTAACTGACATTTCTGGTTGGGTATCTTCCAGTAAATCATTGATAAATTGGTCAAATGTATTTGCAAAGTGTCACAAATGAGAAAGTAGGAACATTTTGTTACCACACATATAGTTATCCAAAATAGGGAATAATCCATCAGTTAAAATGCTTCCTTGTCCTTGACTATTCTTGGTCTCTTCTCTGGGCTGTGGTTTCTTATATGGTCTCATTCTTACAGTTAATATTTGCTGAGATTGATCGATTCACTCCAACACAAAGTCTCGGCATGTATGCTGTCTGAGACTGGGATTGTCGCCAGTCTCCCCCTGCGGACCCTCTGTGAGCCTCCTGTCAGTCATTCATTGATGCTTGTTGTGTCTGCTGCTCAGTCAGGGTGAGAAGTGCCTCTCTGTGGTGTCACATCTGCTATGTTCCTGGAAGAGTATCGCAGCTACATTCCCAGAAAACAACTCTGACAAATGGTTAAGAAAGCAAGACTGCTCGCTGCTTTAAAATACATATAAATCTAACTGGAAGCTGTAACGTAATTACCCTTAAATTAAATGCACATCATACAGGCTACTGTCAAAATCTCCCTGAATTAGCTGTCTATTTTTTGCATCAGGACTGTGGTTTCTACACAGTATCTTCATGCTTCAGCCTAGGCGATAGTGCCAGATGTTATGCTAGTCAATTCATTTTGTCATGGAAATTAGAAGATGTAGGCATGACATTAATAAAATGGCAAAGTCCAGGAGGATCTGTCAGACCTTGAATCTAAACAAGCACAACGATTTTCTTGGTGTTTCTTGGATTGAGAAATTGTCGCAGTATTTAGGTAATTTAATAAGCTTTATAGAACAAGAGAAAGATATAAATCTTGATCACCAGCAAAAAGTCTACTATAGCCCCTTTTTGGCAGCCTTTCAGTCAAAAGGAGTTGTGGCTTTCAGCAGCGGTAAACCAACGTAAAGCTGGAGCTCATGCATGAACATCTCAAAGTCCTTCCAGTGTTTCCTCTAGGATGGAGTGCTAAGACTATGGGCATAGATATGTCTCATAATTATTTGTGTGAACATACAAATAATTTGTGTGTAAATATGTGATTTGTAAATGTAAAACAACATCCACAAATGCATTTAGAAGATTTGCAAACTCACAAATAAATGTGCAAGTGTAAAACGGATCTGCAAATACGCTAAATATGTTCACAAATAAAAAAAAAGATCTGTGAATATCTCTTTAACATTTACACCTTTCGATCAGGCATTTGTGAATCCATTTTGTATTTGTGGACCAAAAATGCGCTTGCGGATCTCAAATCTCTGCTCGTGGATCGTCTTTTTACACACACGGAATTTTGAGACATATTTTCCGCCGGTCTCGGCTAAAATCTACTCGTGTCACTCGGTTATTTTCGGAAACCACGTGATGTTCTGCTGATGACGACATTTCCGCATGATTTCAAAGTAAGAGCATGATGGTTTGTTTAATGCTCTGTTTTTGTATTATAATGAACAGTGGAACGTTAGATGCATTCTTCATCACCATACCTGACCTAAATACGGTGCTTTTCTACAGATTACTTTATTAATGCACTGGTAAGGTAAAATTAGGCCGATTAATAAGATGTGAAGTGCTTTGTAACTTCGACCCGCTTGACTGAATACACAACAAACAATGAAGAAAGAGTTTTATCTGGGCTGCTTCGCTGTCAGCTGCTCCCCCCGGGACCCGAAAGTGGCGTATAGCCTGCACTTCAACATCAACGAAAGTGCTCGATATATGCTATATTGAACCAATGACACAAACTAACTGTATCACTATAACATGATGATGATGGTGATGAAGAATGCATCTAACGTTCCGCTGTTCATTATAATACAAAAACAGAGCATTAAACAAACCATCATGCTCTTACTTTGAAATCATGCGGAAATGTCGTCATCAGCAGAACATCACGTGGTTTCCGAAAATAACCGAGTGACACGAGTAGATTTTAGCCGAGACCGGCGGAAAATATGTCTCAAAATTCCGTGTGTGTAAAAAGACGATCCGCGAACAGAGATTTGAGATCCGTGAACAGAGATTTGAGATCCGCAAGCGCATTTTTGGTCCACAAATACAAAATGGATTCACAAATGCCTGATCGAAAGGTGTAAATGTTAAAGAGATATTCACAGATCTTTTTTTAATTTGTGAACATATTTAGCGTATTTGCAGATCCGTTTTACACTTGCAAATGTTTTGTGAGTTTGCAAATCTTTTAAATGCATTTTTGGATGTTGTTTTACATTTATAAATCACATATTTACACACAAATTATTTTTATGTTCACACAAATAATTATGAGACATATCTATGCCCATACAAGACACGCGGGCCCAGCAAAATGTGAGCGCGGAGCACGTGGAATTTTGTAGTGTGTGCGCGTGCCAAGTGCGCCCCGCCAATATGTTGTGTCTGCCAGCACCAGTAAGGCTCTTGAGTTCTAGTAGCCTACATACAGTGGCTTATTATTATTTTAATAATAAGTGGCGCCGTCGCTATTTAACACTGCCTTCATGACAGGCCACTTCAGGTCCTCCAGAATGGAAAGGGGCGCAGGGATTACACATCTAAGATAAAAAGCGTCACCCCGTGCTCATGTCTTCACCACACTCAAAACCAGAGCCCTATAATGCCAAACCCTGCTGGAGCCAACTGTTTACACCAGTGCAGCGTGCACAGACGACAGCTGTATGCGGAACAAAAGTATTATGACAAAAAAAACCGAGGAGTTTATTTGAAGAAAGGTGGAAACCCAATGTATGTCATTCACCAAAGCTTTACCGACAAATTAAACATTTCGGGAATGTATTCCTTTTCTGGATGTTAGTTTGACGAGAACACAGACACCACTGTCATTTAAGACGGTCAATTATGAAGCTACTGACTAGCTACTGTTAGCCTAGCTTAGCATCATGGAAACAGAGGGGAGTAGTTTGCCTGGCTAGGTTACTTATTAAAGAGTTATCTACCAGTTTCTCTAAAGCTTAAAGTGACAGCACATTCAACTGGTTTCTTTAATAAGAAGAGAAATGTATAGTTTTAAGAGACATATTCATAATTTGAAGCTAAACTAATATACAGATGTTGTTAAAAGCCCAGAGCATCTCCAAAAAGAGAAGCTTTAATTGTTTAAAAACCAACAATGATGTATACTGCATCCCAACTCAAAAATAATTGTTGGTAAAGTGTATCTAATCTTCTTTATTTTAAATAAATCATGCTTCTTCCTGGATTAGGTATATCATATTTAACCAAACCAGTTTTAAGGTATGTTCCCGTCTATTATAGGCTCAGTAACACAAGATCAAGTTGGCAAACTTGGTGTTTTCTAGCCAGGTGGCTTATTGTTCAGGGGAACTGCAAACTGAGGCTAGGTATTGTGTTGGTTGAAAAGCAACTAGTGGAGTGAGAGATTAAAGCTGTAATTTTGCCCAAACTATATTATAGTATTCTGGGACACAAGGAGGGGCATCTCAAAGTCTAAACTCCTTTGCTTGTTGTGCGGTCTGTGCATTGTGAGTCTGAACATAGAAAATAGGTTACCTCCAATTATATGTCCCATTATAGTAGGACCCACATAATCATGCCATGAGCTATAATTCAATAAAACAAAACCATATTTTTCAGACAAAGAACGCCATCTCAAATGTTAACTTCCTGGCTGGAACTGAACAATTAGAGTAAAAAAAGAGCAAAGCTCAACCCAAGAGCTAAACTTCTTTATTTATAACGAAATGCAGCAATTTGCTGGAAACCACTGCGATTTCAACAACTAGTGCAAAATGACAGTCATCATAAAGAATAATTTTCATCATATTCTACAAATGCTTTCTAAACTACTTAACTACTCGCTTACTCAATTGTGCATAAGGTACAGCATAGTGTACAAATGGTATCCATATTAAAACATATTTTTAAATGTAACTTTATGTATGTAAAGTATGTATGTATTTATATTAAGGGAAAGAAGCTGTCGCTGAAACATCCTACATAGAGGTCTGAATACAGTAAGAATATATTTAAATCTGTGCTTGATAAATCTGGCAAACAACACAAATATAAGGAAACTGCTTGTAGTCGCTGATGAGGCTTAAAAAGCTCAGGAATAAGATTGAGATTGCTTTACTGTAGTTTAAAAAAGGGCAAGTTTTCTGTTTCAATGTCTAAAATTCTAAAATCTGCTGTAGTTTTAAGAAATAAAGGTTTCTGTATATAGCTGCCATGTATTATAGTTAAGTGGCAAACAAATGATATATTTACTTCAACACTAGAATTCTTATTTCCAAATGACCTAAATCTCTCTCTTGGATTATAGGGTCTTTAAAACGGTGTTTACATCCCTCACAACATTGTGGTCAAAAAAAGATTGCTCCACAATCCAACAAACAACCAGGGCTGTCATGACAAGACAAGATTAGACCGGCTGTTCTTTGCCTCAAACTGTATCCCAGTCACTAGCAAAGCGAGAACCGTCGAGAGTTAATGTTCATCTTGGTGACGCCGATGAGCCTCAGCGGGGCGGAGAGGCCGAGCCCCGGGGTGACGGGACACTCACACAGCAGGTCGGACAGCTCATCCCGCTCCTCCATGCCGAAGGTGGCGTCATTGAGCATCCGGCGGTGCTGGTGGCACGTCTGCTCGATCTTCAGCTGGTGGATGTCGCTGCGGAGCCGCATGAGCTGCCTCGCCAGCTGCTGGTCCTGCATCCGCATGTCTGTCTGATGGAGAGAAGCGGGACAACAGTGGTGCTCAAACAACCCGATCACCAAATCAAATCAAATGGTCTTCAACTGAAGTGAAAAGTCGAAAAAAATGGCGCTATTGTTTTAGCTAAGTAAATCGTTTTTGGACATCTTACAACTTTATCATTAAGATTTATAATTGTGTTGTGTTCATTTGTACGTTTGAGAGGTTTGTTGGTAGATTTGTGACCTTCAGACAGAGCCAGGCCATATTTGACCACCTGCCCCACTCTTTATGGTAAGCTAAGCTAATTGTTTCCTGGTTGTAACTGAATGTTTACCCTACAGACATAAAATAAGAAAGAAAGAACGCGAACTTCCTAAAATTGCCCCCAAACCCCTTTTTTTTCTTCAATTAATTTGTTGATATAGTTGGAACTTATTTACTTGATGCATGATCTTGATTGACTGCAGTCCTTATTGTGTAACAAAGTCCAAAAAGAAAACTCATAGTGGGACATCAACAAAGAAGTTCCTCATCGTAATCTCTCTCCATTTCATCGCTCTCGTGTCCTCTGTGTGTGTGTGTGTGTGTGTGTGTGTGTGTGTGTGTGTGTGTGTGTGTGTGTGTGTGTGTGTGTGTGTGTGTGTGTGTGTGTGCAAACGCCCGTGCAGAGATGGTAATCACCTCTCCTGGCCTCTGTGTTTGTGCAAAACGTTTGCGGCCACATACTGTGAGAGTTTCTCCCTCTGACTGTGCCTCTTTGCGTGCTGCAGCCAAGCTCACCAACCGTGGGGTGAATGCATTGAGTGATTGAGCAGAGGGAAAGAGATTACAGCGGCAGAAACAGTGTGAGACAAATGTCTGCTGCTGCATCCATCTCACTGGCTAGCGCAAATGGGATTCTGCAGGCCACTAATTGGACATAGTGCACGATGTTACATTTTAATTAGCCGAGTTTTTTCCTATGTTGGCCTTTTAATGCTAAATTGTAAGGCTCTTCAAATTAGAAATGTGAGTCAAAGTGTGTATTTTCATCTGTACACATGCAATTCTCAAGTGTCTAAATAACTTTTAAATAGGACCTACAATATCTAGGGCTGGACAATAAACCAATTGTATATCAATATTGTGATATGAGACCTCATAGTCTTACAAATTGGATAACATGATGTCATCTTTTCCCGGTTTACAAAAAAAGATGATATATTTCTACATTGAAAATAATGTAAGCATCGTCTCACCAGTTCTCTCCTCAGCCAGCTGAGAGCTTCATCGATGTTCTCGAACCCCTTCAGTGCACCTGAAGGCATCTTGCACTGAATCACAGCAGACCTCACTGCGGTCTCTTTGGGGGGGGCTGCTTCCCCCTCAGGCTCCTCTGTGACCGGGCTTTTTTCCGATCTAAACTCTCTGAAGCTTTCCATCTCGAGCTGGGCTTTCCAGTCGAGGTACGACGGTCTCCTCGTCTCCAGTCTCAGCTTCTCTGTCAGGGCTTTCAGGTCCATGAGATGGTCGTCTGCAGGCAGAGCCGAGTCTTCCTCACATTCTGCCTTGTCCACAACAATCTGAGGAGCTGAGGTACTGTCCATGATTAATCTTTTCAAAACAAAAAGCTCTGTACAAAATGTTTCAAAAATAAAAATTAATATCTGCTCTTCATTGGTGGCCTCATTCGTTTTTACAAATAATCATAATCGTATGGTTTTCCTTTGCTGTGTCCACTGTCTCTGTCAGGAAAGTTGATATTTAAAAGCTCCTTGACATCTCCATTGGCGTTTCAGAGGAAGAGTTAGATCTGCAGAGGAGAGAAATACAACTTGTGAAACTTTTGCTGACTGGCAATTTCATCCAAATGACGAAAACTAGTGTGTCATCATCTGACAAGCAAGACTAACCTCGGCTGAAGCTTGGCAGGCTCAGTTATGAGTGGACAGAACGTGTCCTGAATGATGAGGACAGGGAAAGTTTGTGTCTTTTCCGTGTTTGCCTTCATTCTGTAACGTGACTGAGCAATTGGCTTCTCTCGTATCAGTTAAGAACGAATCAGCGCACAGAGGAAACACACCTACAGGTTTTTCATTTAACAGGAACACATTGTTTCCATAGCAACGTCACAGCCAATGTAAATTAATCTGCACATTTTCCATTTCATGTCGTCAGCGCTTATTGACCTAAACAGTGGAACCTGGGTCAGAGGACTGGCAGGGGGGCACAATGGGGGATAGGCTAGCTTTTATACAGCAAGCCTTGTATTTATAGCTAAAAACGTATGTCAATAACATAATCTTACAAAATCATAGAATAATCATAAATTAAGAGCCAAGAAAAGTATGTATTAATTACTTATTAGTCATAGACCCCTTTCTAATATATCTATATACATTACAAAAACACACAATTCAACAAAGTGCAAGTCTAATCCTGGGTTAAGTTATAATTATGGTGATAGGAGGTTTTAATGATGTTTGGAAAATAATTATGAATGATATTAAAGGTTTTCGCTAAGGCATAGCACACTGATGTGCTTATCTTGGGTTCCCCAGGGTAATCAATGTTTTACTGTGTTATCTTTTACCATTTCCTTTTGCATTTAATGACATGTCATTATGTGAATATATACATGTATGTACATGTAGGGTGCATTTATGATTAACTTAGTGAATACATGTAGATGTGTTGTGCAATGTCAACACACTATTTTACTAGTAACTTGATTTACATATGAAATGTATTCTCCATACTGGATGCGGCAGGGGGAAAGCGATAAACAACTTTAAATTTGGTCACAAAAAAAGAAAGTTAATCGGACTCTCCCTTCACAAAACCACAAGAGTCTATCCCAAATTTCAGGGCAATCCATCAAATATGTGCCGACTTATTTTAGTCTGGACCAAAGTGGTGGATCAACCTACGCTAGCTTTCCTACCATAAAGCCATACAGCTTACATTGCTAAAAGTTACATCACATATTGTTAAGCAGCCTGCTCTTGTTTATTGCTATACATCCATACGCAGTTGCATTTACACAAAGACATACAAATCACCATATCTTTTAATGTGACCAGTTTAGAAACACTGCATGGGAGTCTGGAGGCCCACAGGAAAAACAAACTCAGGAAATAAATAGTTAATGCAGCCTCTTAAATGATATAGCATACACACGCTCGTAGCAGTGGAAGCAAAAGCGGACTTTCTGCCCAGTGTCCTCTTACAAAGTCTTAAAGCACTCAATAAGCGGTTAGTGCTCAGTTATTCCATAATGGGCACAGCAGACCAGAAGTGAAGTCATTGCCCTTGTAGCTAATGATAGGCTTAGCTGCTCCGCAAGGTAAATAGACCTCTGACTGTGCAGAGTAGCTGACTTACTGTTTGAATGCCCTGGAATGGATCCTCTCATTCTTTTCTAAAGGAATCAGTGCGTCTCTGGAGACCACATTGTTACAGGAGGCCGGTGAAAGCAGAGGAAAATCCATGCCACATGCATTTTTAAAGAGTTTGTAAAGACCCTATATGTACAGCGAGATATTGATTTAAACTGTGAATAGGAACTGCAGAGCCAGGGTGTTTAGAAAGATAGGGGAAGTGTGTGTGTACTGTACGCATATAATGAGCTTTGATGAAAACTATAAAGACTTAAATGGTTGTGAATCATAACCACCCTTATTGTGGATTTCTTGTGAGACTCTTGGTGAAGCCAATAGAGTCAATAGACCAGCAGGGAAGCTTTTTCTTAAGGAAGCCAGCATTTACATCCTGAATATGAATATCAAATGCAGTCTGAGGCAAATACAAACTCAGACAAATCTTTGTGGGGAAAAAGGACCATTTATCGCTATATCCAAATATCTCAACTGGCATCAAAATCACCAAGTATTGCGCGTATAATCCTCTGGTTTCAAGTCAGCAGAATTGGATGGCTCGTCTACATCCAGTACAGCATTATCACACCAATAAAATGTGTTTGACGCTGTTATGAGATGCCAACCCTTAAGGTCTGGCTAAAGACCGTCCTTAAGAAGTATGGCTCTCCCATCTAGCACACGCAGGCATGTCTACATAACAAACATGAATGCAGAGTAACCGACCAGGCTTTATCCCCTGTGAGTCATTTCCATTTAAAGGTGTTACATTAGAACTGGAGGGAAGGTTATGTGCTGATATACAGTTCTGAACATGGGCATATGAGAATCATCCACATCATCAGCAGGATAGCTAGGAATAAAAGAGATGAGAAGCCGAAAAACTAAAGCTATTTATAAGTCAAACACCCAATAACTGTGGCATATTGGATTTGTTCGTTACGGCAACAGAAACTCATAAAGACTGTGGTTCATAATGTGCAACATTTACAGCCTACACCAACCACAAATGGAGCAGAAAGCCCATACTTGATATTAGTATCAACAGGTGTTTTTGTATGGTTGTTTATGAGTTTGAATAAAGTACATTTTAGAGACTAAAACTAAATTACTGTGTTACTGTATCTAGGTTAATGTCAAGGTGACCATCAAACATGAGTCCTTTGGTCTTTAGTCAAACCATAACCCAAAGATAAACAGGCAATAATACACAACACAACCTAAAATGGTATGTCTACATAGACAGACACAAGGTTAAGATTATATTGGTAAATGATAATCAAGATTACAAATAAAGTTTTCCACTTGTGCATGAGTTAAACTTGACACATGCAACTTAATGCTGTATTACTGTCTTTAGATTTCAAATTTTAAATATGAACTTGACAATACTTTTAGACTAAGCATTGACGACAAAACATAACGTTGTGGTTAACAAATAGCATACCATTGCTCATCGTTCATGTAGCGAAATGTATAAATAAAACCCCATGTAACTAGTTCTAGTTTGTTTCTTCAGGATATAGCCTAGCATAATTTCACATTGCAACATGTTAAGGCTACATTTGAACGAGTAAACTAGGTGGCACTGCGAGCTCACTTCAACATTTATTTTAACCTGCTCTATCTTTTTTGACACCGTGCTGCAGTCACCACCACCATCATGTGGAACAGGCTAATATAATTCAAACTGCGTGTGTTTCGTTACCTTTTGTGAATCTCCCCGCAGAAGACAAACTTGTAGTTCAAGCAGCGACATCAGTGGAGACCGTCACGTCGCGAGCCAGCTCTCTCGCTCATATCATCCACGAGCTGCTCCACGGTTCACTTGTTTTTGAGCAGAGAGCTACCGGAGGAGGGGCGGGAGGTTGCGTCAGGTTCTGGTTGCCTGGAGACGTCCCAGGAATCCCAATCAGACTTCCCGCCGCACGGATATTACTGCAAGTGCGCCACAACTTCACTTTTACTATCATTTATTTTCAACAAAATACACTTTTTAAAACAAACACAAATTTGACAACAGGTACAAAATGTGAAAAAATCGACAATTAAATACAGACTACAACGTTTGTTTTAACTGTTACAAGTTTCATCCATCACGAAAGTTACCAAAATTGCCACAAAAAGGTACAAAAACCTTTTCAAAATTGTTTAATGGGACATTTGAATACAAAACTATTAATTTTAAAGCTTACTGATGCACTTTTGTGTGCCACATTCAGAGTTGCAAGGTATAATTTCAGTCTATAACACATCAATAAATATAGATATAAATAAAGTATTTTTTTTTTCAATATAACTTCAATATAGCATGTAATTTCTCCTGGTTTGCTTTAGTGCTGATTGTCTGTCATCACATGAGACCGAGTGCAGGGGACTGGCCCTAAGACATATTGTTTTAATGAATATTAATGGTTACTGTTTTACAATATCTTCAAGTCAAGGGAACACATTTGTTAGTTTTTGTCCAAACCTTTATATATACAGTCTATGGTCCTGTTACGTCCCCACTACATTTAATGTAGTTTACAAACACAACATTTAATTGATTGATTTCATTTCCCACACAACTACAGAAGCATTCATTGAGCCTATAATAATATATTTCCATCCTTTGATAACAGGGCAGCAACATGTAGTTCGGGTCATTTAAGTGTTCCCTGTAATGTTACTTTTAATCAATATCATGATTACATTGGTAGTTACAAACCTGCAGAAAGTTGCCATTTTCATAAAGTTGTAAAAATAACCTGTTTTATATAGATGTCAGACATTCAGGAAGAATCTCTGATCATACAGTGATTGTCATATTGCTTAGTGCTAGATTATTGAGGTATGGACTGTAAAATAAATCAAAATGACAGAGCCTAAACATAAAATACATGTCCAAACCAAACAATCACATCAGCAACCCCAGACTAACAGTACTGGAAGATCTCTTTTCCAGGGCTAATATCCAATAATGAATCACACATCTGTTAAATATTTGAGTGAACAACAGGAGTGAAACAAGTCTCTGTCCACAACATTTACAAGCTGAACATCAAAAGGTCAAAAACCCTGTATTACCAGTTTCATCAACACCTCATTAAACCATAAATGTTCTACATAAAAACATTCACACAAGTTATTTAATTTTTCATTTATATTGTTGGAAAATATTTAAGAAAATCTGTAGAAAAAGAATTTTTTCTGCTGATGATGTGGACATTTTTGTTGTGAAATAAATAGTGGTAAGACTTACATTTAAGGACAATGTTTATTGTGAATGGACTGCATTTATGTTGACTGCAGAGCCTGGGGATTGAACCATCGACCTTCCGATGTCGGACAACCATCTACCATCTGAGCCAAAGACGCCCTCTTTATTATTATCTATATTTTTGACTCATCTTGTGACTTCAGACATCAGTGATGGCCTTTTATGAGCCTGACTACCTCAAATCGAAATTATTTTCATAAAGTAAGTTCCTCTATGTCATCATCAAATGAGGTGATGGCACGGATGGCAGGCCTGCTATCTGCCACGTGGATGGTGTTGAGGGAGGATGCTGGAGGAGTAGAAGACCCTGAGTTGAAGCTGAGTAGTCCGTCCCTTTTACGCACCCCGTTGGTAGTTGGAGGATTTTTGAGGACCTCCATCTTATTGTATGTGCTCACACTGTCCCCCAGAGGTGTTGCCAGAGCTCCGAATAGTTGCTGCATGAGGCTAGCCTTCCTGTCCTTCTCCGCTCCTCCGTCCGAGTCCTTTTCTTTCTCTGTCTCCACCCCTCTGAGGCTAAAAACACCTATCGCCTCTAACGACGAGTCCCTGTCCTGTTTCGGTGGAGGGGGAGGGAAGCCGGAAGAACCTCGAGAAGCTGAATTCCCGAATGAAGGCGCGTAGCTCCCGAATGCCAGGTCGTCACCGGAGATTTGTGTCCGCAGTGCTCTCCTTCCCACTCCTGCTGTGGCAGTTCCACCCTCCATGCCTGATCTCTTCCTTCCACTGTCCCCGCCTCCAGCACGGAAACCGGCCGACTCTTCTGGTTCTGTGAGGTTAAAAACGGAAGAGTTTCTCTGCTCAGGAAGACGAGGAGAAGCGTGGTTACTGGTGGTCTTATTGGACTCAGAAGGGATAGACTCAGCAAAAATGGCATCCTGAGATCCGTGCTCTTGGCGGTCTATTTCACGCATCTTAGCCAGCAGCAGTTCTTTTGTGCGACGTGCTTCCTCTGCCGTTTGCCGATTGGACAGAGCCCCGTGGTTCCACCTGTCCACCTCTTCCTGGACATGGCCCCGCTTCCTGTTGTTCTCTTCCTCCTGGCGTAACAGGGAACTCATCCTCTTCCTGTCCTCTTTCTCTTTTTTCTCCTCTGTGGACATAAGACCATGTTTTAATCCTTTTCTTAATGCATTAGTGTTGCAAATGTGTACTCTATGCTCATCTTACCTTCTCTTAGTTGCTTTGCCTTCTCCTCAAGAAAGTTTAGCTCCTGGTTCAGTTGCAGCTTCTCCTCTTTTTGCAGCTCTTTATCGTTCTCCTTCTCCTTGTTTCCTACTATTTCTTTGTTGCTTGTCTTCTGCTGTTCCCACTTTAGATGTCGGTCCTCTGTCTCCACCTGTCTGTCAACACCGGCAAACTCCTGCTGAAGTAAATGGATTGAGAGAAAGAGGCGTAAAAGGTGAATGACAGACAAATGACGCTGAGAGGGGAATAAATGTGAATGTTGGGTACAGTGAATTTACCTTGAGCGATAGATACTCATCAGGTGCCTGTTCACTGTACCCATTGGTATCAGTGATGGCAGGGGGAGGAGTGGGGAAATCCAGACTGGGCGCCCTGTCTTTAGTCTGCACTGCCTTAGTGCTGCCCCTGCTGGGGACTACGTGTGAAACAAGAGCAGAATAAATATTAAAGTTCATTTTGTAGTCCTTTTGCAAACCATGAAACCTTGATCACTAGTTTCCAATATGTATTAGCATCAATGTTCATCAGCTTCTCAAAACTACTTCAATATGGATAAATATACAAACATTTGAGAAGCTTATGTATAGATGTTTACAGGTCTACAATGACCATCTGAACTTAAAGGGATAGTACAGATTGTATTAAGTGGTGGTATTGTATGAGGGAAGTTTCCAAAGTTTAAAACCTACACAAAAATCAATATCAGTTTTAGTTTACGCTTCATATTGAATATTTTCACCACATGCAATTAGACAGCCCTTATCAATGGGTAGCCACCAGACTCCATTGATAAAAACAGTCATTTAAGATTGGAGAATAAATAAATTGCTGGTTTACTGTGTGCTCGATATGTTTGTTTCATTGTGTGACTTCCATTATTACAGGTTCACTGTTGAAAAGGGCGATATGACGGGAAGGTATATTGGTAAAAACGATTCTACTTATTGCATGCAGTTAGATTGATCGATATCTTGGTCTAGACTCTAGCCTTTCTTTTAGGGGGCTAAAATATGTTTTCCTACTGCCCATAATCCATTGAAGTGCATTGCTTAGCTCCTGTGCTGGTACTTGTGTTGGTGTCCTTTTATGCTAAATGTGGGCTTGCCGACTGTAGGTAGATAATTATCTCATACAGTCCGCACTTCAAAATTCCTCAGTCTTTGTAATAGACTCTTTGGTTAACTGCACAAATAAGCTTCTTTCTACCTAGAACCAAAATTGTGGCCTTACTTTTCCGCTCAACATCTTTCCTTGGGGCAGGTTTCATCATGCGGTTGGCATAGATGTTCCTATCATCTAGTTCTCTCTCCTTCTCCTAAAAAGAAAAGGAATCAACAAAGTGAACATTTCGTACAATGTTGCTTTTTATACCAAATCAAAGAGGAAGATACAGTTTGCCTTAGTGGATATTCCAAAGTATATTTTCTGTGTTTGGACCTTGAGTTTATTGGTCAGTCGTTGCAGCTCCTCCTGCAGGGTCCGGATCTCGCCCTGGGCACTGATGGTCTTCTTCTTCTCTGCAGCCAGCTGCCTCTGGTAACTGCCGCTTGTTAGCTCCATGCTACGCTCCAGCTCCTTCACACACACACACACACACACACACACACACACACACACACACACACACACACACACACACACACACACACACACACACACACACACACACACACACACACACACACACACACACACACACACACACACACACACACACACACACACACACACACACACACACCACACACACACAACACACACCACACACACACACACACACACACACACACACACACCACACACACACACACACACACACACACACACACACACACACACACACACACACACACACACACACACACACACACACACACACACACACACACACACACACACACACACACACACACACACACACACTGATGTAGACACTTTCCAGCTAACACAAGAAGAAAATAAACTCTAACAGCCAAGTCTAAGTCAATATCCCCCTCAAAAACTCACATTATTTTTAATTGTGCAAATAAACAAAAAAAGAAATGTACAGAAGTATGACAAATACTTATAAATTATTATAAAGCAATTCTATCAAATCTGAACAGGTGTTTTTTTACTGTGGTGTAAACAGCAGGCAATAATGTAATTTACTTCATTTATTTACAGATTTTGTAAAAATTTAAAACCTGATTTATTTAGGCAATTTCCCTTATATCTACAACACAGAGGCCTTTAAAGTCCCGTACAGATTAGTTAGTAATAGCATTACATTCTAGAAAAGAAACACTGCAAAGTAATGCGTAACTATTAATAAGTAAATAAATGTACCTTAATCTTGCGTTCTGCCTCTAGGGCCCGGGTCTTCTCCTCCTCTAGCTTGCGGCTGAGCTCGTCTCTGGCTCCTAAGTCTCGCTGGTCGACGAGCTTCTTCAGCCGCGCGATGGTGGCCTGACTCCTCTGCAGCTGCTCCTCGCTGTCCTTCATCCGGCGCTCAGCGGCCCGCTCCCGCTCCTGGGTGCGTCTGAGCCGCTCGCGCAGCACTTGGGTGTCGTTGTTGTGCCGCGAAATCAGCTGGGAAATCTCACTTTCTGTGTCATCGTAGCGCTGCAGGGCTTTATCTTGGCGCACCTGAAGCTGAAGCATGGAAAAGCGGACATTCGAATTCAGGACACCACAGGTATTAATAATGATGAGTTAGAAAATGTTTATTAAGGTAAAGGGTTATGGGATTGATTTTCCAACAGAGATGTGTGTTTATTTTATTTTATAGGATTCCTACAGCTAAAGGGAAATTCGATTTCATGTTTAACACATTTCATGATGCAAAAAAACAAATTCAAACAAATTAGATATTAGGTCTTTTTCTCTTTTAAAGATTTTTGTTGAGAATGCAACAGCAGAAAAAAAACATTCATAAAATACTAGTTCCCATTTATTTTTTAAGACTTTTTAAGGGATTGATTTAAGACATTTCAACCTAAATGTAGGTGTTAAATGATTTAATCAGGGCCTTTTAAGATTTCTTAAAGATCCATACTTGCCACTAAAATCCGACATTGCTCACTTAAAACTCTCAACCTTTCCTGGCCTTATTTATTTAACCTCGACCGAACTAGAGTGGTAAACCTACCTGTCTGAGAACTCGATTTTCCTTCTGCAGCTCATCAGTGCGCTGTTGCAGCTCAGCGAGTGAGTTACGCAGTTCATTGATCTTGAGCAGGCGGGCTGAGAGCATCCTCTTGGTCACCAGGTCCAGGTCTTTGGGAGGCGTGGAGTCCTTGCTTTGTGAACGCACTCCCCTGCGCTGATGCTGGGTCAGCGGGTGGCCACCTGGACGCTGTGGACGAGAAACACCCCGACGCCCCACACCTCCTGCAAAGATAGAGGAACACACATGATGTAGGGATAAAGACAGTAAACACTTTGACAGGACCATACTGAAACAAGTGCACTGGTAGTGGTACATGGAAAATAAGGTTGAGGCTGAAGACTAATCGACATACCGTGTTTAATTTCGTCTTAATGTACAATATTTAATTTCCCATTCTGTTCTTGTATATATCATATTCTATTTACATGTATAGACTTCTTGCACTATTTTTTATTTGTATTTTATTATATATGTTGCATCGTTGGAGGAGCTCGGGTAATAAGATGTTCATTGCCATTTCTACACTGTAGCTTATGTGCATATGACATTAAAACCTTTGAATACAATTGTACTTATTGAAACATAATTAGAATGTGAGGAGCTTTTATTAGATTCAAATAGAACTTCTGAATGAAAGATTGTATTGATGTGTTAGTCAAAGCTGGAGTATAGTCTTGTCATTAAATGACCATGTTCAAATCTGCCTTATACTGCCATCACCTGGACATTAAATCCAATGTAGCCAGTAAAGGTTACAAGATGAGTTTGAACATATCCTTACTTTACATACCTGTCTTGAGGGGGCTGTTAGAAATCCTTTTTGAACGCACCATTCTCCGAGGAGTAGCAGTTGGAGTCCGGGACCGGGAGTATGGTGAGTTCGAGCGCTCTGAGGGAGACTCATTGTCATAGTCGTCTGAGTAAAACGACCCACTACTTCTTCGTCCCTCTCCGTCTGATAACTGGTCCCGATCTGGATCTGAACGCCAGGTTCGGGTTTTCGATCTACTCTCAACACAGCTTTCTTTTTCCACCTCGTCCTTGAGATTGTCCCGGGAGTTCTTTTTGCGTTTTTCGAAGTGTGATGATCGTGAATCCTTCTTTGAACTGCGGAGTGACTGACGACTTTGATCGACATCACGGTTGTCCTCATACGGGTCGGTCATGTTTTCAGATTCCATGCTGTCACTCGGAGAAGAAATGCTGTGATGAATTCAAACACAAGGGAAAAGAAACATGTCAGACTTTGAACTACATAAGGATTATTTTCTAAATTAAAGTGTACCAATAACAAACTGTAGGATGTGTTTTACCTGATTTATAATTTAACATAAAAAACATCTCCTGGTAATCTGATCTCAACTGTTTAACAATGCAAACCATGAATCCAAACCACTTATAAGAACATAGTCCAACTGCGTTCTCGCAAGATTTTCTGTATTGTGTGTCTTGGTCACTAAGCGACAACACACAAGAGGTGGAAGTTTCCATGAGGCTGAATGATGTATGATATCACTACCTTACAGCACTGCTGCTACAGACAACACACTAACATGCCTCTGTCTGCCCTGGTGACTTATTAAACAGCCAGTTGATTATTTCTTACTGGAATATAAGACTTGTAAACTTGTGTTCAAAGAAAACAGAAAAAAAGGAACATTTACAATTCTTACCTGATACTTTTTATTTGGCTGATTGTAAATATGGTGTTGCATATATACATAATGTCATGTAATAACATGCACATATATATTTATTGTATGCTGACACTATTTTGTATATATATAAATATGTAGAATTCTTCGGAGAATATTTTGTGAATAACTGTATTTATATCAATTATTATATAAAATTGCCTTGTTTTAGTATTTAAGGACAAAAGCCCATGCCACTTAAGAGTTTGATTGTAAGGGATCAAACAACCTTGAGTAGATTAAGGAATACATATTAAAAACTAATAGCCAACCATAATATTCTCATATCATCATGCAGTCATCTGGCCCTTTCATCTGCCTTGACAATAATAGAAACACTTGATGGATAAGTATCTATGGCAACAACAGTACACACACAGCATCATTACAATAATCAGAAAAAAGTGTAAATGAGGGTAAAAAGCTTTGTTAAATGAACAAACAGACGAAACACTTTAAACAAATAAATTAAGTGGCCCTTATATAATGTTGTTCACCTCTAACATTTAGAAATGAATACATAGATTAAGCATAATAATTTAAACGGATTTACTTAACAATTTCAGTTTGTTTAATGTTTTTGATCACAAAAAGTGATATTATGAATATTAATAAGAATAATATGGTTGGCTATTATTGGCTATTAATAATAATAATATTAATTATCAGCATCAGAGTATGGTACATCACTCACCACAGAGGTTACATTACATCCCCATCATCTCCTTTGGCATCTTCTACTTCATCTTTCTATTGTCAGACTGTCCCAGGAGGTCCCTAAACATAAGTTGAGAACAAATATATATGCTTTATTAAGCTCTCAATAAAAAAAATAAAAATAGATTCGTGTTATTAAGGGCTTACTATAGCGGTACAACAAGCGTCCCCAGCCTGCTCTCAGTGACGGACAGATAGGATTAAAGTAGGCCGTCTGCTGTTGACAGGTGCTTTGTTGCTAAACTGCCTCTCAAGTAAATAGTTTAGTTGCCTGAAGCCAACCACACACTTAAGTGGGCTCTATACTCCACATTATCAAATAAACACGAATACCAAAGGAGAGTAATTGTTGAGCTTCCAAACAGCATTTGAGCGTAACGCCACTAGCAACCGTTAGCCCAAAAGAGGTTGTATAAAGCTAACGGTGAGAGATGACCGACTTGTTGATGCTAGCTTATTATGCTAGCATAGCAATACAAAACTACCATCAGCTGGTGGGAGGTTTTAACGTTACCCTTTGGCATCTGCTGGCACCAACATGTCCTTTTGTCCCGCGTGTTAATGTTTTAAATCTTGTTGGCTAGTTTACGTTTAACTTTGCAAGAAGAAGCAATGCCCTGCTTCTTGTTTTAAGACTCAGCCCGCTAATGATAACGACGGAGCTTCAACTTCTAGCAAGCTAGCATTAACTTAAGCTAATTTAGCTACCGTTTGATTTCAGCATAGGATATATAAAAGCATTGACGTCCGTCCTTGATGGATGGTCATGACTATGTTTTTTTTTAAATAATGAGCCGTCCTGCAATTATCCACAATAAAACAGCAAGACGGAGTTTTCCCGATCCAGCAGCCTCAGATAATGTTATTATAGTCCACGCCTTGAGGTTTGCTCCAGTCCCTCCGCTGACGCTGTACCATGGCAACCGCAGTGCTCCCTGTAGTAACACTTTACATCCAGAGGGGCGCTGTAGTGCATGTTGTGCTCTGGATACAATATGATTTGATTGGAAATAACTCAAACCTTGCTACTAATGTGTTTTAGTCATGCAGTGCAATCCATATGTTATGTTATAGTATAGTATAGGCTACTATTGTATTTACTTCATTATTCAAATGTAGGGGACACTCAAACTGAGCACATGCTGACTTTAATTTGGTTATTTAAAACCTCAGCTTTAATCAATACTATAATAATTGAATAATCCCACAGCAAGGTTGGATTTACGCACAAATTGCGTTTTGTTCTCCAAAAACACAGCACTGTTTAATTTGAAAACTGTGACCGGAAGTAGGCTTCAGTGTTAAATGTGATGTCTGTTGCATCTGTGCCACAGTAGCAGAAGCGCACGCTGTGTTATTACCATGGCTCAGTTTAAATACTGGAGACGCGTGTCTACTCTTTTCTCAAACACAGCCTGTAGTTGAAAGTCGGAATTCGCACTATTGAGAACAAACGAGATCGTTGCCATCAGTTTGTCTATCGTCTATCATCTGACATTAATTTGGGATTAAAATGGTCATCAAGGTTTACATCGCCTCCTCAACAGGCTATATCGCGGTGAGTGTTTGCAAAATGTGTTTTAAAGCTTGTTGACAGTTGCACATCAAGGCATATCACAAAGTGTTGAAATATGACTTTCCAAACAATGTTTATTGCCATAATGTAGCCACAGCGTACTGTGATTAGTGCTGTTCACAAGCAGTGAAAGTAACCAGCATCCTTCAGACATCAAATCTAAAAAACATGTTTTATTGTCAGGATACATTTATTTTGTATAATGTGTGATGCATGTGTTAATTCAGCCTGTTGCATTTTTGGCAAATGCATTTTCCAAAAATATATATATTTTAATACATTTTATAAGGATTTTAATGTGCAGCATTCTACATTTTAATTTAGAAGCTTAATAAATAACACATTCTTGTTAGAAAAAAGTACCTGTTTGGTGAGCAAACAACAGCCCCCCAGGATGCACAGGGGTGGACAAAATAACAGGAACACTACTGTGTATTAAACTGACTATGTTTGTCATAGAGAACTATATGTAGAAGTGCACCTCTCATGGAACATTCCTTATGTCCTCTTATTTGTGTTGTGAGATATTATTTTGTTGTTAACCATGGTTTGTTTAACCCTTAGGTTAATCTTGGGTGGGGTTCATACTTCTGAGAAAGCCATTTCCTGTTGATATTGAGCAGTGCAGAAATTAGTAATTGAATAGTCCATCAACAGAAATGTCTAGCTGCTAAAATGGGAGTTTTTTTTTAACAGATTTTAATAATCGTGTTTTGAATACAACTGGATTGTGGATTGATCATCAGACCGTAAAAGCACTTAAATAGTTCACTTTCTGCTATTGATAGCAATGAATTGATGAACAAAAAATAAATTAACCAATATGAAAAAGTCATTATTTGCAGCCCTAGTTCAGTTTGTGAATGCCAAATGTCATTGAGAAAGCACATCTGATATTTAGTACCGGCAGATTATCAAACAACACTCTTGTGTGAATGCTTCAAGCCTTAGGTAATGGGGAAAATGAGTAATATATTTATTTTAACACGCTCCATCTCTATAAGAGAGCAGCACAATCTTTCTGCGTTTACAAAGAAGTTATTTTTAACCCTATGACACATACATTCAGAGCACACTGACTCTCACACACACAAAACACAGTCGTGCACGCCTAGCTGAATAGGTCCACCATTTGGGTCAGTTATGTGAGTGTTGAGCTCATGTGAATGCAATTTACTGCAAATGCTTTTAAATTGAGTTACAAGTGATTGAATAAAGAGGGAAGGTGGGACTGGATCCCTCAGCTGGTTTAAAGTAAATTGGACATGTGAGTGGAAAGAAATACAGTAAATAGTGTTAGATAGACATTCGGGGAAGAATACTGTTAAATATAGAGTGAACTCTATAAAACAGACAGGTGCAACAGAAGTTGGAATATGTGAACAGCAATAAAGGAGAGTATGAGTAATAATGAAAACACTCCAGTGAACCGATAAAATGAGCAGTTCACAGTTTAACAACAGCAGATTAGTGGAGCAGAACTCATCAGAATGAATGAAGTGCAAATTAGGTTATCCCTCCCACCCATCCGTGGATATGTGCCAAGTTCTATATAGTGGTAACGTGAGGGGGGGGAGCATGAGAGCATGAGAGCATGTCGGAGCAACACCAGGCTAAATCTCACTAAAATGTATGTATTTTCCAAAATCCTCTCTTTCCCTGTGTCCCTCTCTGTCCATGACTGAGAGATCAGCCTTCAGTTAATCCCCATATTTCAGAACGTGCGCTCAAACAATGAATTCATACTCATATAGGGAAATGTGAGTTTTTAGGAGTGTCATTTCTGCATACTCCCAAATTGAACCTGAACTCATCCATCCCTTGACACACTCACCCTCACTGGGAGAACCCTTTTCATTATTTAGGCTCACGCTGCCGGCTTTTCAGCTCAGAGGAAAGTTGTATCATTTTGTGAGCAGCAATGTGATCTACAGCACATACTTAAACCTGTGATTCTATATGGAGTTTTAACCTTTGCCCAGAGCAAACAGACAGACATGTGTTTCTCTTAAAGACAGTCAGTCCTCCTGCAATTCATTTACTTTGTTGTGAGTCTCCAGATAAATCTGTTTTATTGGCGCACAAAGAGGCTCACTGTTAGAAGGAAGACACAACAGATAATCTTGTTTGGGTGTGTGTCCTGAACAATCCCTTATTGTTTTTAATGTTAAACAATAGCTCCATTGTGGTCCTTAGCGTCACTTAAATAATGGATACACTTGACATATATACACACACAAGCTCACTGGACCGTTATCATTATTAAATCGTCATATTTTAATTTTTTTTCATTATCATATCTGCCAATGGCATAATTCGTAGAAAAAAATTTCCACAAAATGATACGCCCTGTTTTTATTGGTTCACACTGTCTGGTCCCCAAATGATTTTGAAAAATCAGCCCTTTTTGTTTTGTTAACTATAAATACTCAATCATACAAACGATATTATCACAATAATAGACTGCATGAGAAAATAGGAATGAATGAATAAAGCGCACATTTATTGTTTTTTGTTGAGAGCATTGATACATGATAACAGAATGTTTGACGGTGATGCTGAATATACAATTATTTCCATGCTAAACAAACGTAATAATTGCAGTAACATCAATAATTATAAAAACGCTTTAAAGCAAAAATGCAAGCTAGATAAATAAAATGACAAACATTGTTGAAATGTGTTTAAGTGAAGTTGCAACCAAACCAATTCAGTAAAAAAAAAAAAATGTAATCAGAAATCTCAAAGACATTTCAACCTTATGTCTTATGGATTTGTGTGTTATGTTTGTTTTTGTTTTCTCTTCTGTGGGAGTATTCTGACTTCTAAAATAACCCTGGGTTTTTTTTTTTCAGCACTCACAAACACATTGATGCAGTTTCACACACACAGAGTCCCAGAGCACACACAGGGACAATACCGTAGGGAGCTGTTGTATCCATCCCTTAGACCACAAATGGAAAAGTTAATTGCATGTCTTCACGGTGGGGTTCCCTCATAAACTGACCCAGCTACAGAGCTACAGCACAAAATATGTTTGTGCGCATACATATTAATATGTACTGTGTTTATTCACATCATAGACAAACACTTATTTTCACACACAAAAAAGTTGACTCTCCAAACTCATCAGGGCTGAATCCTCTTTTTTGTTACTATTTCTTTTTGGCCTGTTTAGATAAAAAAGCATCAGCAGGCAGTGGTGAGTTTCCTGGAGGCCAATCGAATCAGCTTCCAGGAAGTAGACATCACCATGCTGGAGGAGCAGAGGCAGTGGATGTACCGAAACATCCCGAAAGACAAGCAGCCAGAGAAAGGCAACCCGCCGCCTCCACAGATCTTCAATGATGATCACTACTGTGGGGTATGATGGAAGTTTGTTTATAATGTTTAAAATGAACATACATCCATATGGTAGCTTTTAACAGTTGGAGACAGTGTTGCCGAAAGGTTCATTTCTTGAAGAACTCAAGGGTTTAGAACTACATTTTGATGGAACATGAGATAACAGCAGGAAAAAAAATCTAATATTTTTCTCCCATTTGATTGGATATTTTAAAGTTCAAATAAGTCATTCAAAATGTTTGAAACAAAGCGAGATTTTGATACACAAATACTCAGAAAAGTCTATATAACAATAAATAGCTGAATTCTTAACTCAGGATAACATTTAATTTAAGCAGTGTAAACCATGCAATTGAGTTTTTACATACATCTTTATAGTCAGTACAAGGTTGAGCATCCTATGCTGGTGAGTTCGATTAGTTAGTGCTGGCCAGTTCATATCTCCACTGAGTTTGCACGCCACCCAGTAATCCTGTGGTAATCCAGTTTCACGGATGGGGCGGATTATCTGCTGCCTGCCGTCCCTCTCACTGGTCAAGGTAATCCAACATTACTCTGTAATGTCATGGCAATTGAATTACATTAAAACAGAAGAGGAGGGACTATTTGTCACAGATGTTTGCAAGCATCTCTCAAATATCGAGATTATGTAACATCCCCATTGTGTTGTTTCCCCTCAGGACTACGAAGACTTCTTCCAGTCAAAGGAGGACAACACTGTGTTTGCATTCCTTGGGCTCAGTGAAAGTAAGGGAGATTATATAGGCATTTGAAAACACTCAAACACTCTGCTGTCTCTGTGGTATCAATCATACAGCCAAGAAAGTTAGCTGTCAATCCAGATTACCTCAAACCCTCTCCAGTGCTGGACGAGCAGCTATACTTTCAGCAAGCTAGCTCTGAAATGTAGGATTTCCATCTTATTTGCATTTCATTCAAATCAGCTTTGTTTGCAGGAAAAAGATAAATAAAACTCAAATCCCATACATCTAGATTCAGCTGCCTAGTCTCCTCCCCTCAATCTGTTAGAAATATTTATCCCAAAGATCTTCTTAGAATTGAGACAATCATAGTTCTCACTGAGTTAATCTCAGTGCTTAGATGACCAGTAAACAAATAACATACACAGTATCTCTGATTCCTAACTGCTTCGGGCAATGTTGATGCTTTTGAAAAAATACAAAGGTCCAGGCACAATTCAATGATCCACTTACCAAACATCAAAGGACCTTATTTCCATTCATTTCATAAGAGCTTTTATTTGATTTCCCTCCAGTTGCGTCCATTTTCTGTCTCTCTCCTTATGGATAATTATGTTAGGCGAGATCTGATAATATATAACCAGCAGGATATTGCAGATATATTCAATATGGACATGGACACGTGTAGAAGAGATATCTGGCTTTTGAATGTTTTGTTTAGTACACTGGTTTCTTATCTATGGGTGTATCTGATCCCCACTAGGGGTCGCCAAAGCTTCACAAGGCCTACTTGATTACAAATGGTAGTAAGAAAATCTTTCTTTGTTTTTTATTTATACAGTTGGCCTATATCCAATCTATCTGGTAGAAACTAAATGAAATTGAAAATAGTCCACTCAAAATTCACTTGTTTTACACAAACTTCCTGCAGTTATTGCATTCACTACTTGGGTTCATTGCACAGCCTATCAGTCGTTCTGTACTGATATTGTTATACATTGAACCTAATGTAAAATATGTGGCTTAGTTAAAGGTGTTCACTGTGCTTAATCATAGAAAAGGGGTCCCTTTAGGAAAACATTTGGAACCATTAGAACAAATCCAAGGAGAATGTAGATACTAATTGTTAAATCTCCATATCATTTTGCCCCCCAATCTCTAGGATTCTGAGTCATAGCTGGGATCATACTGCTGGTATGTGACGACGAGGGACCCTAAACTACGAGGACCAAAACTGCATTGCTCCCTGTGTTGCATCACCTCTTCTCCCACGTTCTTCCCGCTTCAAAGCCAGCACCTTGCCAAACATCAGACTCCTCGGATCTCACCCTGAACGACCTCTCCTGACTCTTCAAACACTCATTCCACCATCACTTAAGTCTCCAACAAATATCTGATGATCAACAGATACTAAATCACAGAAGAAAGGGGATTAACTTTATTAAGTTTCATGTTTAACACACTGTCACAACAATCTATCAGTAGCATCGATTCTGAACAAACTAGATGTAGAAGCTTTTGCTTCAGGAGAACAGTTGCCTAAGTTCGATGTTTAATGCTGTACATGAAGAATAAGATGAGGCGCAGCTTAAGTCACCTGAACACACCACCCTTGTGTGTGTATGCCTTAGTGAGTGTGTGTTTATGTGTCTGTGTTCTTCAATCAGCAGCTGTTAATAATAGCTGTGTATATTGAGGGAGGATGAGAGTTAGCACTTAATTCAACCTTAAACAACTTGAGGTCTAGCTATCATGTCTGGCTGCATGTGTGTGTGTTCATGTGTGGGAGTGAGGAAGAGTTCCCAGAGGTGACAGTGACACTTCAGTTCAACACAAAGCAGATCAGACCAAATACTATCAATCCTAAACATAATAGGGATAGGCAAGGCCTTAAAACATTGCTAGCATTCAAGTGTGTAGTCACCGTCATCAAATAAAACAAACTTGTTTATTCAACTGCCAAATAGGTTACTCAAATGACTGGGGAGGAAGGTCTTGGTTAGGTTACAAATATACTTTTTTTATTTTCTAAGTATTTCCTAGGCACAATACAGCAACGTTAGTTAAAACAGAAGTAAATATAATTTTGTAGGGACTACTTTTAAACTATGAGTTAAGCAGGACAATGTTAGGGGATTAACCCTAAATAAACTACAGTGCTTAAGGTTCATGGGATGTGTTTATGACATGGAAAATATTGCCAGCTCTATCCTCTAATCCAGACTGCTATAGACAAATCAAAGCTACAATCAGGGTCACATGAGCCATAGGAGTGCACTTGGCAGATTATTACTCCAAGATGAATCAGACACAGGACAGGATGTAAGAAAATATAGTTTATTGCTTAGAGATAAATGTAAAGCTCTGACAGATCATCTGAAATGTAAGCAGACTGCCTTCAGTGTGTTTTACGTTGCATGTTGTGAAATGAACAGGTTGACGCATCATAGCAGTACTGTCCAATCTGTTGTTATATTCTTCGTCAGGAACACTAAGCATGTTGTTATGTTTCTCATTCTAATTAAATGATCACGGGTGAGAGGTTGACTAATCCCTTTGTTTACACATGTCAACACAAACAGATTCACTCTCTCTAGCCATTCTTCCCTAAATGTTGTGCCATTATGTGAATGGATGTCATTTTTACTTATTTCAAGTCATGTTGGGGACATCAATGTTTTTTTGCCACTGTTAAGACTACTGTTTAGAGTCGGAGAGGTCCTGATAATTTATTCCGGTAAATTACTCTGACCTACTAATTGACCTGACCGAAGTTATTGAGTCTATGTAAGGTTGCTGCTTGGCTCAGATCCACCAACGTCAGCAAGATCTCACCTCTATTAACTTCCCGAGAACCTAGGTTCAATTAAACTGCTGTTTCAATTCAGACAACTCTTTTTTAATCTGTTTAGGGATCCCGAAGGATTTTGATATCAGTAAATGGAGTGTGCTCCTACCTAAGTGTGTGTGGCAGGGTGCAATCTTACCTTTGACGCAGGAGAGGAGAGCACAGGTGTCCTTTTAAATTATCCCAATCCAACAGGTGGGATTCAGTTTATTTGAAGGAAAAATAGGTCCAAACTAATACAGGGTTTTTACCTTCTCTCTTTACAACATTATAATCATACTAAAAAAATATGGTGCTGTGATCATGTTCAAATATGAAACTTTAATTTACAGTCTTACATTTATTACCAAAATGTTTTAATTTCAACTGCCCAATTCAGTTGTGACATTTTAAAATTCTCCCGATAGAATTTAGAGGTATTTCCTCGTAAAAAGACCGGTGACAATAAAAAGCGCATTCAACTTTTCATTCACCAAATCAATTCACATCAGTTTCATACCTTTTTTCCGACACAGGCGGCGGGTATAACATTCAAAAACCCGTTCCTATCCGCAATAATTCGGAGGAAGATTTCCTCACAGGTGGCGGGTTATAATATTCATACACTTTTTCCGAAACAGACGGCGGATTAACATTCAAAAACCCGTTCCTATCCGCATTATTCCGGAGGAAGATTTCCTCACAGGTGGCGGGTTATAATATTCACAAACACATCTCTCATCAAATCATTCCACTCAGCCAACAACCAAGAAATTCGAGAGACATTTACCAAGTGTGAGAGGACCTTTACCGAGAGCTATTAACCAAGCTCTGAAGGACACAGCCTACCGGGAGAGAGTCTACCAGGGGTTTCCCCCCCCTCTCTCTCGCGCTCTCTCAAAAAACCAGTCTCTTTATGCTAAAAAAAACCGGAACGAAAACCCCAAAAAAACAAACTCCTCCTCTACACCCAATTTGTGGGAAAACTGCGCATTGCCCTCTAATGTACAAGGCTGAACATGACTCGACATGTTCCATAGCTATGGCATAAGACACACCTTCCTATGTTAGTGTAAAAAGGACTTGACCCTTTTTTGAGGCCTCTGTGTTTCTCCTTAAGCCTGGACCCCCCCTCCCTGTGAAGATAGGGGGAGAAAACGGCCTACTCTCTTCAGAGACACCCATAAATCATAGACCTTACACACTCAACCTAAACAAACCACTTTGTTTTGTTTATACTGTAACTATAGAAAAACCTAAAATATGAAGTATTTTTCATTGTGGGTTATACAAAAATATAATTGATTATATTTGATTATAACTAACTTTCGTTTTAAGTATTAAACATACTATGAAAACTCACAACACTACACTGTGTCCGGCAGTGGCTCAGTCAGTAGGGGCTTGGACTGTGAGCCTTAGGGTCGCCGGTTCAAGTCCCCGAACAGACCTAAATATGGAGTGTGGACTGCTACTTGGAGAGGTCCCAGTTCACCTCCTGGGCCCTTGAGCAAGGCACCAGACAACCCCCTTGCTCCCCGGGCGCTGTACAATAGCTGCCCACTGCTCCTAGTACTAGACCCCTGGTACTAGGATGGGTTAAAAGCAAAGGCCAAATGTCACTGTGTGCTCTGCATGTACTATGAAATCATGTGATGACTTTGTTGTGACAGATACTAACAATCCTGTTGGGCCAACTAAATATACTTTGTGCTACACCTCTCTGTCGTGCTTGATTATTGCATTTTTAACAGATTTAAATTTCAGGAGTAAAATTTGCATTCAAAATTCGTTTTTGTTTTCATATTAGAAATCAGACAAAAAACTGTCTGAAATGTAAACATTGTCATAAACGTTCTGAATCACATCTGTGTTTTGTTACGAAGAAATTTCAATTTGCAAACTGAAAACAGAATTTGGTAAACACATTTATTTTTGTATTTCTTTATACTGTAGTTACATACCTGCAGAATTACAAAAACACTAAGGGCAACAAAACTGTAAAAACCTATTGGATCCACATTTGTGTTGTGATTGCAACTGGATAACAACAGATTTACTAACACAATCCATAGGAAACACATGAGTAACAAATGAGTAACAAATGACTCAATAGCAACATTTTTTTAATGTCTTTAATTAAAGGCAGGGTTTGATTCGTTTTGATTTGTAAGCAGTCCAACAAAGGGAAAAGGCATTCAAAAACACTAGGCAATATCTGAGTCAAGGTAACTGGAGATTGGTCCAAACAGGGAGCACACATAATAAATGCACAAAAGAAAGAAGCATAGCAAGGGACAGGCGAGAACAGCGCTAATGAGGAATCAGGATGAGGCAGACATCAAACAGCCAGAAAACACACAAGGGCTGGAGCGGTGAATATAAAAACATGGCCTCAGAGTAATGCTATTACATGACTCATGTCTATAAAAGAAACTGAAGTACACATAGTTCAGTGGTAACTAACTTGATGCTGTACATTTAAATGGCTTATATTTGCTTTTTGTCACTTCTAAAATATTGCTTGCTTTTCAAGGCCCCTACTCCCCCAGAGTCATGTCATTTCCCATCAAAGGATGATGCCAAATCTCTGTGTAATGATTACCCAGACATCAATATGTGCTTAACCTGAAGTCCAAACTATTAAGATCCTCTCTTCTGTCATTTGGGAATACTGTTAGAAAGCTGAGGTAATCGCTTCACTACTTTTAGAGCCTCTTATTGTGCTAATCTTGAATACTGGTTCACAGCCTTTATAACTTAAGACACATTCCAGTCACAAACCACCATTACAGGTTGTTTTGCGGCTGGTTGCAGTACAATCAAACAGTTCCCTGTGTGTGTGTATGTGAATGGTGCCCAACTCTTATGTATTACGGTTTTAAACAAATGAATTGCACATAGACATGTGTCCGTTCGTTCATATACAGGACAGGTTACAAAGTACAGACATGAATTGAATAATATATTGAGATTGCATGTGAAAGAATCATCATTAATCCTTAGTACTGACACAGAAAATTCCATCCGCACTGTCATGTTCATTTAGTCCTTTTCATGATAAGAAAAGCAATGGTGTGAATGATACAATTATCGATTGCTTTTTCAATTTAGCTGCTTTATTTTCAGTGGCCTACATTGACTTTAACAATAAAGCGTGTATGTGAGCATGCATGTGACAATTCTCTCTGACTAAAGAGGAACTTATTCTCTTTATGAAATTGCAACACAACCATGTAGCGGTTAACCGGAGGCAAATTAAGGGAACTCCTTGTACATTATACAAACAGATGGCCAAACCAGGCAACCTATAATGCTGAATAGACAAGTATGTTATGCAATATGATGTGCTGCCTCAGTGTAATCACTAATGTATCTTCTTATGAACAAAAGAAAAAACATCATGTGAGAAGAACTACACATGTTTACTTTCTGTGTTGGTCAACCCTGTCAGAGACTCTATGACTCAGCCTATCAACCTAGTGAGGCTGTCCAACAACATCATCTCTGACCCAAACCATGTTCTGAACAGTGAATATGAACTGCTACCATCTAATCGGAGATACAGGGTCCCACGATTCAATAAAGTCAGACTGAAGCACTCCTTTGTGCATCAGTCAATCCTCACAGTATATACAGAGCTGAATCCTAGATCAAATGCACGCTGAAGGCTCTTTGAGCAGCTTTTCTCTCACTGATTGTGCTGTTATGTTAAATGTTTATTGTTTGTGTTTCATGTATTTTTGTCTGGATATTTGTCTGTTGATGTTGGACATGGAGCTGCTGTGACGCGATCTGACAAATAAAGTAATATCGTATCGTGTATGAAAATAAAGTTTTACTAAATGTACATTCTGCTGTCCCACATTTTATTTGTGGGGCACTCAGAGAACGGCAGAAAATTCCAGATTTATAAAAGGTGCTGAACAAACAAAAAAAATTACTGAGGCTGAGGGTTTCTAAAGGGGAAGTGGTTCAATCAAGTCAAGCGTTAGTGAAAGGAAACATCTCAGTTAATGTAGATCTGTTGGTTTAATTCTTTGTGATGAGCAAAAAACTACAACCCATTCTGTAAGGTAAGAATAAATGATGATATGTCAGTGATTTGGGGTAAAACTAGATTCAAAGCTCAATGTTTGATGCATTTAACCTTACAGATGAGGTTTAGTATCCATAAAAAGCATGGGTTGAAAGTAACGATCAGTTTTTTTTAGTTCTGTTTATAATATCCAGGTCTTGGATCACATTTTGAAGTAACAAAGGCAACATATTAATTATTAGGACTGACCATATTAAGTTTCGATCCATGACAACAACACGATTGTCTTGAACATTGAAAAAAGTATTCCAGGGGAAAGCAAGTTCCTGTTTATAACACACGGATTTGATCTATAATTGCTTTAATATCCTTAAATACCTTTTTTTGTTAAGTTCCTGCAACAGAATAAGATATTGAACTGAGATGAAGAAAATAAAACAAGTCAATCAAAATGGCCTGTTTATTTAAGCTAGTTTATACTACTACATTGATATCGATTGGCTGTTCTTTTAACAAATTCAACATAAAAGGACTGCTGGGAATGATAAGGCGATGAGATTCTAGGGACAGGTGGGACTCGGTGTTCACATGTTGTCATTCGTTAAAAAACAACTCTCTTTTTAATCAACATTTCCCTTTTATTTTTCTGTAGCTCAACCTTCGTTGTGTCGCT